TTTGTAGAATGAATTTGGAAACATTTCTTCCTCTTTTGTGTTTGTAGAAGAATTTGAAAAGGATAGATATTAATGTTTGGTAGAATTCACCTGTGAGGCTCTCTGGTCCTAGACTTTTGTTTGTTGGATGTTTTGATGAAAAATTTTATTTCATTAGTAGTAGTTGGTTTGTTCATATTTTCTGTTTCTTCCTGATTCAGTCTTGGAAAACTATGTTTCTAGAAATTATCTATTTCTGCTAGTTTTCCAACTTATTGGCATATAATTTTTCATAGTTGTTTCTTATAATTCTTTGTATTTCTGTGGTGTCAGTTGTAACTTCTCTTTTCTGATTTTATTTTTTACTTTTTTTTTACTTCGGATTTTAAATGCTCTTTTTTGTAGTGAATCTGGCTAAAGGTTCAATTTTTTTAACTTTTCAAAGAATTACTCTTGGTTTCATTTCTTTTTATTGTTTCTTTAATCTCTTTCATTTGTTTCTACTCTACTTTTCATTATTTTCCTTTTTCTATTAATTTTAGGCTTTGTTCTTCTTTTTCTAGTTCCTTGATGTGTAAAGGTACATTTGCTTATTTGAGATTTTTCTTATTTTTTTGAGGTAGGCATGTATCTCTGTAAACTTCCTTCTTAGAATTGCTTTGATCTATCCCAGAGTTGTTGTTGTTGTTTTTAAGATTTGTTTATTTGCGGGAGAGAGGGTGAGAAAACGTTCACACACGTGTGAGCATGGGGGAGGGGCAGAGGAAGAGAGAATCCCAGGCCTGCTCTGCTGAATGCAGAGCCCAACATGGGGCTTGATTCCACAACCCTGAGATCACAACCTGAGCCAAAACCAAGAGTGGGATGCTCGACCGACTTCACTACCCAGGTGCCCCTGTCTCAAAGTTTTTGAACCATTGTGTTTTCGGTTTTCATTTGTCTCCAAGTATTTTTTAAATTTCCTCTTTGATTTCTTCATTGACCCATTGATTGTTTAATAACGTTATTAGATTCCATGTGTTTTGGGGATGGTGGTGGGGTTTTTTCTCTTCAGTTTTTCTCTTGTGATTGATTTCTAACTTCATACTGCTGTGGTCGGAAAAGATGCTTTTTAGATTTTTTGAGACTCATTTTGTGGCCTAACAATTGATCTCATTTGGAGAATGTTCCATGTTCACTTGAAAAAAATGTGTATTCTTCTGTTTGGGGATGAAATGTTTGGTATTTATGTGTTAATTCCATCTAAATCTGGTATTTAAGGCCACTGTTTCCTTATTGACTTTACATTTGGATGATCTATCTATTGATGTGAGTGGGTTGTTAAAAGCCCCCTACTATTATTGTTTTACTGTCAGTTTCTCCCTTTATGTCTGTTAATATTTGCTTTATGTATTTAGATACTCCTGCATTGGGCGTACAGATATTTACAATTGGTATATCCTCTTCTTGAATTGATCTTTTATCATTATTTAACTCCCTTTGTTGTCTTTTGGTACAGTCTGTGTTTTAAAGTGTATTATGCCTGATATAAGTATTGCTATATCCCAGCCTTTTTTTCAATTCCATTTGCATGGAATATCTTTTTCTGTCCTTCCACTTAACAGGCTGTATGTGGCTTCAGGTCTGAAGTTAGTCTCTTATAAGTAGCATATAGATGGGTCTAGTTTTTTTTATCCACTTAGTCACCGTATGTCCTATTTTTTGGAATATTTAGTTCATTTATAGTAATTATTGATAGGTATGTACTTACTGTCATTACGTTCATTGTTTTTTGGTTGTTTTTGTATAATTGTTCTCTGTTCTTTTCTCTTACTCTCTTCCCTGTGATTCGATGACTTTCTTTTGTGCTATGCTTGGATTCCTTTATAGTTTTTGTATATTTATTGTAGGTATTTGGTTGGTGGTTATAAGGTTTATGTATAATTTTTTTAAAATTTTTTATTTATTCATGGTAGAGAGAGAGAGAGAGAGAGAGAGGCAGAGACACAGGCAGAGGGGGAGAAGCAGCCTGCTTCCATGCAGGGATCCCGACACGGGACTTGATCCCGGGACTCCAGGATCGGGCCTTGGGCCAAAGGCAGGCGCTAAACCTCTAAACCACCCAGGGATCCCCTATGTATAATATTCTATATATTTAGCAGTCTATATTAAATTGATGGTTGCTTAAGTTCAAACACATCCTAAGCACACTACTGTTTTACTCCTTCCTCCCACATTTTATATAAGTGATGTTATTTTATGTCTTTTTATTTTGTGTATTCTTTAATTTTTGTAGAAATAGTTGATTTTACTACTTTTGCCTTTTAACCTTCATAACTAGTTTCATACATGATCTACTACCTTTACAGTATGTTTGCTTTAGTGGTAAGATTTCTTTCCATAGTTTTCTTCTAGTTATGGCCATTTCTTTCTGCTTAAAGATGTCCCCTTGGGATGCCTGGGTGTCTCAGTGGTTAAGCATCTGCCTTGGAGTCAGGGCATTATCCTGGAGTACCAGGATCGAGTCCCACATTTGGCTCCCTGCAAGGAGCCTGCTTCTTCTCCCTCTGCCTCTGTCACTGCCTCTTTCTCTCATGAATAAATAAATAAAATCTTAAAAAAAAAAAAGATGTCCCCCTACAGGGTATCTGCATGGCTCAGTCAGTTAAGCGTCTGCTGTCTGCCTTTGGCTCAAGTTGTGATCCTGGGGTCCAGGGATCAAGTCCTGTGTCAGGCTCCCTGCTCAGTGGGGAGCCTGCTTTTCCCTTTCCCTTTGCCCCGTCCCCTGCTCATACTTTCTCTTATGTTTTCGTGTGCGCTCTCTCTCAGTAAATAATAAAATTAAAATCTAAAAGAAAAAAAAAAAGATATCCCCTTAACATTTCTTGTAAGGTAGTTCAGCAATGATGAACTTCTTTAACTTGTGTTTGTCTAGGAAACTCTTTAGTTTTCCTTCAATTCTGAATGTGTATCTTGCCTGGTAGAGTATTCTTGGTTGTGGGTTTTTTCCTTTCAGCACTTTGAATATATGATACTACTCCCTTCTATGCTGCAAAGTGGTTTCCCTCTCACATAACTGTTTGCTTTTCTCTTGCTGCTTTTAATAGTCTCACTTTATCTTTAATCTTTGACATTTTATTATATATTTTGTTGTGAACCTCCTTGGGCTTATCTTGTTTGGGGCTTTCTACGCTTCTGGACCTGGGTGTCTGTTTCCTTCCCCAGGTTAGGGAAATTTTCAGTCATTATTTCTTCGATTAAATTATCTACCCCTTTTTCTCCTGGGACCCCTATAATGTGAATGTTAGCATACTTGATGTTGTCCCAGAGGTTCTTTTACCTGTCTTCTTTTTTTTTTTTTTTGAAATGATTTTCACTGTTAAGCTTGAGTACTTCGCATTAACATATCTTCCAGATTGTTCATCCATTCTTCTGCATTCTCTAATCTGCTGTTGATTCCTTCTAGTGTATTTTTAATTTCTGTTACTGTATTCTTCAACTCTTGATTGGCTCTTTTTAAGATTTATCTCTATATCAAAGTTGTTATTTTGTTCATCTACTCTTTTTTCATGTCTGGTGAACCTCATTATGACCATTACTTTGAATTCTTCATTGGGTAAATTGTGTATCTCCATTTTGTTTAGTTCTTTTTTTAATTTTTTTTTTTTTTTTAGATTTTTGTCTTATTCCTTTGATTTGGAACATATCTCACTGTGTCTTCATTTTTCTGACTGTTTCTATGTATTGGGTAGGTCAGCTATTTCTGATCTGAAAGCAGTAGTCTTATGTAGAAGGCATCCTATGAGGTCAGATAGCACACTCTTCCCTAGTCACTAGACAGATGCTCCAGAGGTATCTGCTGTGTAGGTTGTGTGTGCACCTGCCTGTTTTGACTAAACCATGACTTCTATAATGTACAGTGGTCAGCGCGCCTGGCTGAAGCCTGGCTGTACCTGTGGTGGTCTTGCTGATGGGTAGGCGGTTAGCTCTTGACACACCTCGCTGAGAGGTCCAGCTGCAGCTGCTGTGAGTGAGCTTATAGGAGGGGCAGCATCCCTGAGGGGTTGCTCACTGGGTGTGGTGTTGTGGGAGTTGCTTTTGAGGCTCACATGGAGTTTGGCTACTTGAGAGAGGTGGGCTCACAGGTGAATGCTGGGAAGGGGTAAGCGGTGCTAGTAAGTTAGATAGGTTGTGTCAAAACTGGTACCTGCAAGTGTCTGGTCAGATAGACTGAAGAAGGGCAAAAAATGGTGCTTCCCAGCATTTCCGTTCTTAGAGAAAGAAACCTCTTTGTTTACACATGCCTTAAACTAAGTCAGTGAATCTCTTTCATGTATAACTCAGGTACTTTTCAAAGTGCTGCTTCTGTTCTGGGTCTAGGACTAAGTGATACAATGCACTGGCCCTTTAATTGCAGAATTTTTTTATTTATTTTTATTTATTTTTTTTAAATAGCCCTCCAGCTTTCCCAGAGTTAAGGCCTACTGATTTTCAAAGCTCTTGGAGTTAATCCCTGCTGATTTTCACAGCCAGGTGTTATGGTGGCTTGTCTTCTTGGTGTGATTCTCAGAGTGAGGGTGCCTAACTTGATCCCCCCACTAGGAGGACCTCCAGGCCTATGATAGCCCTCCCACTTTTCGGTTGCCTGCAGGAGATTTGGTTCCTGACTGCGTCTCTGTCCCTCAATGTGCCTTTTCCTTTTTTTTTTTTTTTTTTTAACTGCGGAAGATCTGTTTTGGTAATCTTCAGGTCATTTTTTAACTGCGGAAGATCTGTTTTGGTAATCTTCAGGTCATTATAATTGCATTATATGTAATTGTAGCCTCAGTGCCCAGGGGAGGAAGTGAGTTCAGGATCCTCTTACTCAGCCATCTTTCCCTGCTCCCAAGCTTTGGTTACTCTTTATTATATGTTGTGATGTTAATTTATTTTAACCAAAATAAAATAATTTGATAATATAAATTAGCGTTGTTTATAGCAAAGATCATGGGGAATTTATAAAATTTAATTTGGTACTTTTATTTTTTTTCTCCTTCCTTTAGATCGTGTAATGAAGAAAACTGAGGAGTCTGAATCACACCTGGAGTCTGAAATTAAAAGGAAAGTACCGCAGAAACGTCACAGTAGTACCTATCAGTCTCCACCTCCTCTGTCTCCTGCTTCAAAAAAATGTTTAACTGATTTAGAGGTGGGTGGAGAAATTATTCTTGGTTGCTAATGAGTCGGTATTTTTATCAATATTATCTTTAGTACTTACTAAATTCTAGGTGATCTTTTCTTACAGGACTAGAAAAGACGTAGAAAAGTTCTTTAAGCAAACTTTTCTGCCTTCATTATATCATTTTTTTTCACTGTCGAAAATGTAGAACACATATTTTCTGAAAAGAATTTAGCAGTGCCTTCCTGCCGCATACTCCAAATAATACCTCTCAAACCAGAAATATTTCGAAATAATTTAAAATTTACAAAAAAAAAAGAAATAATAAAAGGACTATCTGTATACTCTTCTATTAGATTCCCCAGTTTTCCACATTTGATATATTGTTCTCCCTCACTCTGTCTTCCTTCTACCTTCTGTGTGTATGTGTGTGTGTGTGTGTGTGGATGTGTGTGTGCGCGCGCGTGCATGCGTGCATTTCTGCACCATTTGAATATAAGTAACAGACATGATACCCATTTATCACTATACTTTAGTGCATGTTTCCTTAAAAGAGGCAGGGGAGAGGGTGGAGAGGAGGCATTTTTATATATAACCAGAGTGCAACTGTCAAAATTTAAAAATTAACATGGATCCAAAATTACTGCCTAATCCACAAACTATTCAAATTTCACCTAATTAATGTCCTTTGTCAGAACAGGATCCAATTCAGGATTGTGTTATATTTGTTACGATCCTTAGTTGTCTTAAATCTGGAATAATTCCTTAGTCCTTCCATGTCTTTCATCACCTTGATACTTGATTCTCCCTACCTTGTGGGGAGTATGATGTTTCTTTATGATTTATGCATTTTTCCAGAATCCTCCAAAGTGATTCTATAATCTTACCATTGCATCATATCGGAATGCATACAACATTGATTTTCACATTAAAACTTTTATCTTAAGATGGACTTTCCTAAGGGTACTTGGGTGGCTCAGTCTATTAAGCATCTGCCTTTGGCTCAGATCATGATTTCAGGGTCCTGGGATCAAGCCCTGCATCGCGTTCTCTGCTCAGCTGGGAGTCTGCTCTTCCCTTTCCCTCTGCTTCTCCTCTTGCTTGTACTCTTTCTCAAATAAGTAAATTAAAAAAAAACAAAACTGTACTTTCCTAGATTTGTCCACTGTAAAGTAAGTTACTAGGTATTTCTTAATTACTAATAAGATGAGGTACTCTAAAATAAGGTACTTACCTTAAGGTATAATGCCTTACAGTAAGTAGCTCATGAATGAAGTATGATCTACTATAAGGTAGAAGGTTTCTTTATATTTACTATATATTCCCTTATATCTATAATCAGATATATAGGTTCTTTTTTTAATTGAAATATAGATAACGTTAATAACAAGGATTCTTACTCAAAAAAGTTGTATTCTGTGACTGTTATTATTTTGATGCTCAAATTGTCCTATCCTAGCCCCTGGGAAGTTTTTAAAGCTCGCTTCTCTTTCTTTTTGACATATCCACATCATTCTTTGAGTACTTCCCCTTAATTTTTTATGTAAACAGGTGTTCTAGACTTTTGTATTTTCTCCGCCTCGACTCTGGAGTCATGCATTTCTCCAAGGAGCCATTGTTCCTCTAAATGGGGGGACGATATTTGAGCATTAGTTATGCTCATTGCTACTTGGTATCATGTTTATATGTCCTCTTATTGAACAAAACTAGTAAATATATGTGTATTTATATGTTAGTATTTAGTACATGTTTAAAATCTATGAATTTGTCTGGAGCTGCCTTGAACTTGAGTTGAGGCCACCCCCCACCCCCAAAATAATAAAAGTCCATGAATTCACACTGATAATTCCAATTCTAGTGTATTACCCCAGTGTTTATCCTAGCCTTCTCCACTTTGTGTGTTTGTAACTTCCTTCTCTGAGAAGCCTGACTCCCATCATGTCTGGTATATTTACTTATTGGCTAAGTTGTTTTTATCTGATTATTTTCCTGGCATGCCAGCCTAAGCTTGGCTTAGGCCATACTGGCATTTCCCCACTACCTTACCCACTGCTTAATGCAGGTAGAGAAGGATCAGAAGACACAAAAGCTCTTCCCCAAGACACACCATGCTTTCCTCCTGTAGGGATGCCAGCTGAAAACCTCAGAATTTAACATCCAAAATAAATCTTTCTTTTACTTTTTACTTCCATGCCAATTGTTCTTATTCTGTTCTTAGTGAACATAAAGAATAGCTTCTAGCTACCCTCTGTAATTTTTCATACACCTATAGTCTGTGAAATGCTACGCTCTAGAGCATACTGCTTATGAGGAAACATGGTCTTTGATTTTTAATGAGATTATATATCTTACTAAAAAATGACATCTCAGCGAAATCTCATCAGACAGGTTCATTCCTATTAAGTATAATTGGTTATTATTTATAGAGTTTGGCAGATAGTATGTCATAGTGATTTGGATTTGTTTTATTTTGTAAAAGTCTACCTATCAAAAGGAGGAAATGAGACTTTAGTCTTTGTTTTCTAAAAGAAATTATATCTAACAAATTGTTATAGAAATATACAACTTCGTATACAATTCACTAAAAGTAATTGAGCAGTATTGAGATTCTAATTTTGAGATTGCTGGGTTGATATAATTCTGAATCTCTATAATTTTTAGCATGAAAAATTTAATACTATATTTGGTTCAGCTAAGCTGTGTTTTTAATTGTTGCAAATAGTTCCATGGTATTTGTTTCTAATCTGATAAAAGGCATATGAGAATAGCTCACAATATATTTCATTCTGTATTTTAATATTAGAAATTTTAATAGTATATGCTTTTTTCTGTTTAATATCAATTTTATAAAGGGAAATATGTGGAAGTATCACCTTTTCATAGGGTTCTTTTTCATTGAAATATATCTTATTTATCTTTATTACAGACAATGAAAAATTGGACTCAGTAGCCAGCTTGATCATTATCATTGTGAAAATGGGTTTAGATTTTTCTTAGATTATTAGATATTTTATTGCAGGGTGATATGTAGATGGGGGCAACTAATTTATTTGTGAGTTTCCCTTTTAAAATTGCAGTGGGACATGGCCAAACATTTGCAATTCATTAATGAATAATTGCATTATTTCATTTAAATACACAGTTGACCCTTCAACACAGGAGCTAGTAGTACGGTATCAAGCTGATACCTTGAAAATCTGCATATAACTTTCATATCCCCCAAAACTTTATTAATAACCTAATGTTAACTAGAAGCCTTACCAACAACACAACACATATTTTGCATGTTATATACTGCATTCTTACTATAAAGTAAGTTAGAGAAAATAACATGTTAAAATTATAAGAGAGAAAATATATTTATAGTACTGTACTGTATATTAAAAGATCATCATATAAGTGGAACTATACAGTTCAAACCTGTGTTAATTAAGGGTCAACTATACTATTATTTCTTTCCCTTATTGACAATAGGCGAAAATTTTGAGTTAGATAATCTGTACCATATTTGTGTTGTTTGCATCGTTCACCTGTTAACTGTGCATCCTAAATACACAGGGCCATATCAAAAGTGCTGTGAGAAAAATAAATTCTTTATACACCTAGGTTCCACAAATAGTATAACTGAATTTTGCTATGTACTGGTAAAGAAAAAAGACACTCTTTTTTAAATTTTTTTTTAATCTGCCTTTGCTGAGATAGTAGGCTGATACTCTACTAAGTTCACCTTTGCCTTGGTTGAAGCTTGGTTTCTCATTCTTTGTTGTTATCTGGGATAAATTCTTGAATAGGTAACATGTATAGTAGAGTGGCTTTGTTGTGGATCATGTAAATAGTTCTTGTCACGTTTCCCATTTTTAAAACAAAGAAATATGACTAGAACAGTGGTTTTTATGTAGGCTTTTTAGACTTTTTAGACTTTTTCTATGTATTTTTGAGTTATAAATTTACATAGAATAAAATGTATAGAACTTAAGCATTTAGCTCAATGAATTTTGAAGTTTATGTTTACGCACGTGATCATAACTGCTACTTACTGGTTAGTCCTCCCATAACTGCTTGATGACTTCTGTCACCTAAAAGGCTTTTTTAAAACAACTATATTCTCTTTTGTATTTTTAAGTTGACAGTCAACATTTTCTGTTTCAGGTTTCACTGATTACATAGGTTGCAATAGTTGACACAGTCAAAAGAGTAACATTTTAAAATAGAGTGCTCACTCTCCTTCTGTATGGATCTGGTAACATAAAAAACTATAGCACTTGATAATTATGATCTTTTCCTATCATCTCACTGACAGAAGTATTTATCCACTTATTTCCCATGATATAGGGATCAAAGTGTTATAAAAAATTTCATTTATTTTGGTTATTAACTGTAGACTATTGATTAAAACTGTTATAGTTTGATATGTAATTATTTGACATAAAAGTAAAATTGGAAATGCATGTTCTAAGTAGAGACATTGGCTATTTTCTAATTACTTCCTAGGTCCATGAATAAACATTATGTTGCATTCTGAGACAGGATTCAACATTTCTTCATGTTTTTCCTTATATGTTCTAAAGAACCTTTTTCACATAAATAAGTATATGAGTATGAAAGGAATCTTTAAACTCTAAAATTATATGCCCGAAATCACAGGAAGCTCTATCATCAAAAAATATTTTTTATAATCTCATGAATGTAACCTAGATTAAGCTTCCCCTGAAATATTTTGAAGCACTGTCTTAGAAATCAATTGTCTTGTAAAAGTTTTTGTTAACCAGTATTTAGAACTGAATTCTTTCTTCCAGCATTTAAAAGTATTCTTTGGTTTGGTTGGTGGTTTTTATACTCCAGGGCCGTATACCGTTTTAATATTTCAAATGGAAGTTGAGCTTTTTTCTTTTTCTTTTCTTTTCTTTTTTTTTTTTTTTTTTTTGGAACATGAGAATAGTTCTGGCAAGAGATAACTTGCCATTAGAGGCATAATCAAGTCCAGTTTTGGAATGATATGTGGAAATTAGGATTTAGATATTTATTCCATTAAGATTATTTATGCTCTGTATGCCATAGAAAATTGTTATGTAGCCTTTGAGTAGTATACTGGTCCAATGTGAAGACTGCTGGACTAGATGGTCCTAAAAATTGCTTCTAGCATCCTGATGCTAAATCCCAAGTAACATGATGTATTTAGTATTTAGCATTTTGTGGTAGCCTTGGTGATGATGGGGAGTGACAGACTTAATTTTGAGGTCTTTTTATTCCATGATGTTGAAATAAAATGCCAAAGTCTTTTTTTTTTTTTTTTTATTCTTTTGGAACTTAAGGTTTCTAAACAGTGTGGATATTGTCCAAAATGTGGAAAAGAAAAGGAAAATCAGACCAAATGCCAAAGTTGTGGTATTCTTTTTCCTAAGGATTTGCAAAGAAATTGCAGACAAGCTATAACTTTGAGTGAATCTCCTGGACCATTATTAAGAACATCAATTCATCAGAATTCTGGAGGACAGAAGTCACAAAACACAGCATTACCATCCAAGAAGTTTTATGGCAACAGTGTGGGAAAGATTCCAGTTGATATTATTGTGAATTGTGATGATAGTAGAGAGAATTATTTACAGACTAATGGGAAAGTCATTTTACCTAGGGCAAAAGTAGCCAAAATCACAAACCTGAAAGAAAGGAAAACAAGCCTGTCAGACCTAAATGATCCAAGTAAGTATTTTACTCCCTTTAGTATTATTTATATCAATCCAGTATTTTTTACATATATTTTTATTGTGAGCATGAGCATATTTGAGAAGTGTAGTTTTAATAGGTATCTCTTGCGTCAGTTATGTTAACATGTTTTTGGGTAGATGATTAAAACTGTCCACGTAGTTGGAAAATAACTGACTTTGTTCTCATCCTGTCCATCTTAAATAGTTAAAAAAGCAACACAGACCTTGTCCCCAGTCATAGGTCAAATGCCAGTTATGCCCAACTTTCTAACTTTGGCCCAGTTAATTTAATCTCTCTGATTTGTAAATGGATAATTTCAGCCTGACAGTGTTTTGAGGAAGTAAATAAAATAACATTTAAGCTTCCTCGTAAGTAAAATATTTGATACACAGGACTCAGTGAAAATAGTCTCTTTCCGCTTTTATTCTTCCCCTTAATCTTTTTCCTGCCTTTAGACATAGGTGCATATATATATGTGTATGTGAAATGTAGTCCTATTTGTAATAAATAGCCAAAAACTGGAAGCAGTCACAGAGTAATTGAATAACGTATAGCATACATAGGTATAAAAGGAGGGAAAGGGATCCCTGGGTGGCGCAGCGGTTTAGCACCTGCCTTTGACCCAGGGCGCGATCCTGGAGACCCAGGATCGAATCCCACGTCGGGCTCCCGGTGCATGGAGCCTGCTTCTCCCTCTGCCTATGTCTCTGCCTCTCTCTCTCTCTCTCTGTGTGTGACTATCATAAATAAATAAAAATAAAAGTTTAAAAAAAAAAAAGGAGGGAAAGATCTCACTTAAAATTCTGCAGAGTGATTTCTAACATCTGTAATAGCATGAATAAAGTAAGGTACCAATAAGACTAAATAATATGCTGCTCTTTATTTATGAAGGGTGAGAGAATGAATATAGAGATTTTTTTTTAATGTAGAGATATACCCAAAACTAATTATAAAAAGTAAGTGGTTAGAAGGGAGAAAAAAAATTGTAGGAATTAGGTATAGATGTTAGATATTTCCATGCATACTCTTTTTTTTGTAGATTTGACTTTGGAACCATGTAAATATTTTTCATGATTATAAAACAATATTAAATTGGAAGTTAAAAATAATCAAGACCAAGATGAAACTAATGAACCTTTTTATGTATCTAGTTGGTGGATTCAACAAACAGAATAATTATTTCAAATGATTTTAAATTAAGATAATATTGTGGCTATACATTATTAATGTGATGTATTTTAAGGTCAAACAGAACTGCACAGAAATCCTAAGTGTATTTAGTAATATTGTTAGTAATAAATTGGTATTGTTATTTTTTTGGTATTGTTATTTTTAAACACATATATTGCTAAGGCAAATAAGCAATTATTATTGTCTCCAGAAACCGAGATTTTCAGTGTTGGTGAAAAGGAGTTCAAAAGTCAGAGAAGTAAAAATTTCATTTTAAACTTGAGTTGGAGATAATAGTGTAAGATTGTTATATATATTCTCCTTAAATAGAAATGAACAATCCTAGTTCCCATATTTATGTTTTTAATACCATTTCTCAATAAAAATAACTAGAACTTCTCAGAGAAATAGCTGATTCCAAGTCCAGAGCAGGAGTGTATGAGATAGATCTAGATCATCCACTCATATCAGGAAGCATGGAAGCAGTCAATAATGACTGGACATGTCAAAAGGACACAGGAGCTAAAAAGAAAGGTCTTCTACAGACCAGTAATAGGACTGATTAGGTCACAAAAGGTATAACTATTAATTAGCTCTAAATGATATCCCCCTTCAGCCTCCCCAAAAGAAAAAAAGTTCTCCATTGGTTATCTTTGGAGGTTGCTTAGGTTCCAAGTCGTGACTTTGAAAACATAAATAAAAGGGGATAAAATTTAAAAGAATTTTTTAACCTGGGAGATAGGTCGTTAAATTTTAATTCAATTCAATATGAAAACCTTAGCTCATACCAGTACATTAGCTTATTTTTCAAAAAGAACTCAGGGGTGCCTGGGTGGCTTAGTTGGTCAAGTGTCCCACTCTTGGTTTCAACTCAGGTCATGATCTCAGGATTAAGTCCCACATCAGGCTCCACACTCAGCTTGGAGTCTGCTTGAGATTCTCTCTTCCTCTTCCTCTCCTCCTCTGCCCCTGCACTCTCTCTAAAATATCTTTTAAAAAAATCTTATATCTTTAAAAAAAAAAACAACTCAGTTTAAAAAATGATTACTGTGTGATGTGTCCAGCCAACATTCTGTTATGATATTATGGTGGAGTTGGTATTTGATGATATATTTTAGTGTTAGATCAATACAGTATTAAATATTGTTAATATCATTTGAATCTTTCCTAATGCTGAGGTTTTTACATTTTAATGGTTAGATATGAAGAGAACTCTCACTTATGAGGCAGTTACTGGGTACTATTAGCCAAATGTCATATAAGAAACTTACCCATCCTGAGGAGGTTTCTCGGATGAGACAACTGGAAGTTTAATAAGGCAAAGGTGATGAGTGAAAAAACAAATTTATGTGATTTTTGAGGTGCCTTAAGTGATTTACTATTCATAGCCTAGGACAGTATCAACTATGAATTAAAAGCATTAATTTCGCACCCTCCCCTGCTCACAAAAAACAAAAACAAAAGCAAAACAATTGAAGACTAAGCATTTCCCACTAAAGTACATAGAAAAATATGTTTTAAGAACATTTTATATTAGTAATAAAAATAACATTTATTGAATGCTTATGTGCCCTGCTTTGTGATAATTTTTAAAATCCTGACGTAGGCACAAATACATCTCATTTTATAAATGAGGCAACCTAAGCTTGAGGAGATTAACTTCTCAATATTATATACATAGGGATTGTTGGAGTTTAGATTAAAACAGATTTTTTCTTATTCTAAGTCTGTTTTCCTTATATATTTAATCATTATTAAATTTATATTCCTATCAAAATAGTTTATTATCATGAAACATTATGTCCTGCATGGTCAAATAATAAAGTGTACAGTGTCTCAAGTAGTGGTGATAAATTCTGTATAGAAAAGTGAAGCAAGATCCAAGGAATAGAGAGCGATAATTGTTAGGTGTTGAGATGAGGAAGGGTGCTATTTTAGGTAGATGGTAAAATATAGGCACCTTTGATAAAGTAGCTTGAACAGAACCCAGAATGAAGTAAGAAGAAAGATGTGCTGATATCTATAGGAATAAGATAGAATATAAGTTCAAAATCCTGTATTAGTGTGTTTGGGTTGCCATAACAGAATACCATAGACTGAGTAGCTTAAACAACAAAAATTTATTTTCTCACAGTTCTGGAGGCTTAGAAGTCCAAGATCAAGGTGCCATCACTTTGTAGACCACCACCTCCTCACTGTATCCTTCCTTATATGGCCTTTCTTGTATGCTTGCACAGAGAGAAATCTCTGCATTTCTTCTTTTAATGAGGACACCAGTCCTTTTAGATTAAGGCCTCACTTTTCTGACCTTATTTAACCTTTATTACCTTATCGGATGTATCATAGTCACAGGGGGGTTAGAGCTTTAATGTGTGAATTTTGAAGGGACACAATTTAGTCTATCATAGACCTTGATGGAGAGAGAATCTTATGTGTTACCTAGAATGTATTCTATATACAGAATGAAAGCAGTTACTAGAACAAGATTTTTAAGTATATGGTGTCTTTTCATACTTCCCGTTGCTTTGCAATTATGGTGACATTGAGCAACCCTCATTTATTTTAAGTTAATAAAACAAGCTATGTAGTATGATTCTATCTGTTGCAGCACTGGGGCTTTAAAATAAATATTTATGTAGTAGATATAGATGTTTTAATGTCTCTGAAGCACCATAAAAATACCAATAGAACAGTATACTTCCCCTTTAAAATATATAATCTATTCATATATAATACATATTTCTATAACATTTTTATAAATTATGCACTTCATGAACTTTTTTTAAAGCTTATATGTGTCACTCAACTAGACTTTTTATATATTAAATCATTTGTTCTTGTGACAGTTCTTTGAAATAGGTGCCATTTTCACCCTAATTTCACAGAGAGGAGAAACTGAGGTAAATAGTAAATTACAAAACCCTAGCTTTCAAATATGTATAATTCTGCTTAGACCTGCTAATCTGGCCTGTTAGGTTTTCTGTTAATAACATACCACTTCCGAAAAAGATCCACTTTAGCATTTGCTTCTGAGACTAGACAGCACAATAAAAAAGACAAGTGGAGTGATGCTGGGGATGATGCCTCTCTGGGGCATGTCTGTTACTCAAAAAAATATTAACTAAACATTTATGTGTGGGCTTCTAAAAACAAAAATTGCTTCTGTAAGTTTATGTGTCCTTCAACGCACGATTTTTGAATTCTTTTTCTTTACCAGGCAGTTTTTAGCCTCTGGGAATATAGCAGTGAACAAGGCAATGATCCTGCTCTCTCATAGTTTATATGTAGTGGGGAGAGAGCTAGTAAACAGCTACAACAAAAACAACAGAAAATTTATATCTGTTGTGAATATGTCATGTCAAGTGCCTGTGTTGCTTACTGTAGATTGAATAAACAATTGAAAAGCTAATATTTGATGACAAAAATGCGAAGTGTTAGGGGAATTGCAATCCAGACAAAAATAAGCTGTGGTGTTTGAGGAGCAGAATAAATGAGTGGTATGCCTGGAGCAGAAAGAAGAAAAAATAGAGTAGTATAAGAAGGTTGAAGTAGGCAATGGCCAGATTATGCACACTTACAAACCATAGTAAGGAGTTAGGGTTTGACTCAGGTGCATTGTGCGTGGCTCTGGGGAATTCTGATAAGATCCAGTAATGAGTAGAAGGTATAAGAGCAAATTCCCTTCATAATATCTTTCATGCCCACATTCATTTAGTCCACAGAATTTACTGAGCAATGAACAGTGGTCTGTGTTCTCCCAAAGACCAGTTTTATGATTTTAGTGATTACCTATGTGAAATAAAATTATTTGGTCACATGGAGTTTCACACACATTGACAATGCGTGCTATTTTGTGAACAATTTGTATGCAGATTATCTTCATTCTTGAGACTTTCTAGAACTCTGAAATAGATCTGTGATAAACCTTTAAATTTCCTGTAACTTGTGTACATTTCCTGTATGGGTGATAGTAATGGACTATAGAATAATTTCATATTTGTATAATCTGTTTAAAAAGATGACAGTTCTTATGCTTTCGTCATTTTTAATTATCTCCAAATTTAACTTTTCATCAGATAGAATGGATTGTATCTTCATTCGTTTCTATTAATCTTCTAATAATTAATTCGCTCTGGAAGAGAGCCAAAGCAAATCTGGTATATTTCCTGCTTTGGTAATATATTTTCATATATAACTGACAGAAATGAAATACCTGAAGTATTTAACATTTTCTTTATAGTAATTTTGTCCAGTGATGATGATGATGATGACAATGACAGGACTAACAGAAGAGAAAGCATATCTCCTCAACCTGCTGATTCAGCATGTTCTTCCCCAGCACCATCCACTGGAAAAGTAGAAGCAGCACTAAATGAAAATATCTGTAGAGTAGAGCATGAACTAAGAAGCATTCCAGCAGATTCAGAGTTAAATACAGTTACATTGCCAAGAAAAGCAAGAATGAAAGACCAGGTACTTTTCACATTTATTGACATTTACTCAGAGTAAATCTCCCCTTTGGGATGTAAATATTTTTTTAAAGGGAAATTTGGCAGTGTCTTTAGGAGAAAAAGATGAATTATTTGTTAAGCGGGGCTTAAAATTCCGATTGGAAGGTTATTTAAGAGAACAGTAAAGAATACACAAAAATAAATTTCTATTAAGTTAAAAGCTCAAAGTGTAAAAAATTCAGCAAGAAGAAACATCAGCCTTGCGGTGAAATATAAGTATGACAAGTATATTTATATGTATAATCTAGTGGACAGGGAGAAGTCATTTTAACTTGGGTGTATTATACTATAATACTATTGTTTTGGTATGTTTTAATATAAAAAATTCAAAATGTTCATGTGGTAGAAGACAACAGAAATTATGTCAATAAATAGATCTAGAAAGGAATGTTTGTAATTAGTAATCTAAAGATAGAAATAGACAAAAGGAACAGAAAATTCAGATGAACTTAACCTTCTCAAAATGAATACAAAGTCAATTAATATGAATTGCTGCTGGCTAGACTCCAAGGAAAAGGGTACTTTTCTAATTTGCAGGTGGAAAAGAAAAAGTTATTATGGCCTTTTGGGAAAGCGATTCTAAAAACATTCATTAAAATTTTTGAATGTGTAGTGAATGACCAAATAATCCATTCCCTAGACTCAATCTCAAAAGAAACTTCTCCCTACAGAGAGGGAGTATCTACATATACTGTATGTATAAGCATGATTATTGGCAAACAAAATCATTGTTTATTAGTATGGAAATGGTTGAAGAAATTATGGTATATCTATACTGTAGACCGTTATGCAGCCATTGAGAATTAGAGCTATGAAATGACTTTTAGGATTCTTAACATGGTATTGGTAGGAATACCACAATACAGAAATATATCCATATTTTCTTATTTTTATAAAAAAGACTTGTATGTTAAAAAATTATGTATGTGTATACAAATATAAAAATGTAGAAACCTCTATCCTTGGTTGTTACAATGGAAAACATATGAAAGACAAAGTAACTATAATGATGATGGAAGACTATGGATTATTATTTTAATATAACCTTGTGAATGCCTTTTCAAGCATTTCAGCCCAATAAAAATAGTAAATGAAGGGATGAATATACTTTATTAAATGAAAAGTATAGAACAGTGTGTACCAAAACACTGTAAACTGAAGTTAATCAGTAAATGTGAGTGGGGAAGAAACAGTGAACTCTGAGTTGGTCCTTTGTGTATTTTTTGTTTCTTAAAAATCAAGAAATGAAAGCAAACCACAGAAAAATGAGTAAAGGAAATGAATAGAGTTTTAAAAAGATAATAAAGCACTAAAAATGAAATTAAAATACATTTTGTTAACTGTCCAGTTGTTGAAAAATTTTAAAGTATATAATAGTGTGTCGTTTTGGTTAGTGTTTGGAGAAATGAAATTATGGAAATTGGTATAGCTGTGTTGGAGGGCAGTTTGGCAATAGTTACATACATAACTATGATTTAGCTACCAAAATGCTTGGAGAAGAATAGTGTGTCATGGGGGTAAGGTCAAAAAGAACTCATATGTCCAACCTAGGAGGGTTCAGTTAAATAAATAATGGATTTCCATATGATGGAATTTGTGGATAAACAGTTTTCATACTTCACACTGAATAAGAAGGGTTCCTTAGTGTTCTTTTAGAGGTTTCTTGGAAAAATACGGACTATTCACTTCTAGACGCAAACTCTCCACTTTGGATTCAACTGGAACTCTTAAATTATGTATTTTATTAGCTAAATGACATTTCATTTGAAGAAATAATTCTGAAACTAAAAAAAGCTTTTAAACCTCTTTAATAGTTTCTATTAATAATTTGGGAAAATATTTATGATTAATCTGTTAATAAGCCTGAAAAAGCAGTTTGCAGAACTGAGTGTGTGAGTGTGTGCATGTGTGTTTTGTGTTAATTCATATTTTTTATTATGCCATAGATCATAGAAATGTCTCTAGAGGGACAATGGGGAAAATAGTGCCTATCTCTCCACAGTGGGTCTTTTTCCTTGCTTTCTATCAAGATCATGTTTTATTCTTGTGATAATAAGGTTTTTAACATAACTTTATTTACCTTTAAATTATATACTCAAAGTAATATTTTATATTGTGATTAAATTGCATGTGGAAGTGAATGAAATATCAACAGATCAAGTACTTTAACATTTTAAAATATGCAAAGAAAAATCCTTTTGTAAATGACCATTCCCCTAAGTTACCTGTTTTCTAAAGAATTGCTGGTTTGTGGGGGGGTGCCTGAATGGCTCAGTCAGTTAAACGTCTGCCTTCTGCTCAGGTCATGATCCCAGGGTCCTGGGATTGAGCCCTGAGTCGGGCTCCCTGCTCAGTAGGGAGTCTGCTGTTTTCTCTCCCTCTGCCCCTACCCCCCCCTCCACTTGTGGGGTCCTCTCCCTCTCTCTCTCTCAAATAAATAAAAGCTTAAAAAAAAAAAGAATTGGTGATTCAATCCAAGCATTATGACCATTATTACTAGCTAAATTATCTAACATCTTACTCTGTGAAACACTGTGCTAAGCTGCTTGTATACACCAGTTCATTTGGACAGATACTCTTACTAATTTAAAGTTTAATAAATCAAAACTTAAGGAGATATTGTTTTAAAAATTAGGTAATTGGGACACCTGAGGGGCTCAGTCAGGTAAGCATCTGCTTTTAGCTCATGTCATGATCCCGGGGTCCTGGGATTGAGCTCCGGGTCCTGGGATTAAGCCCCGCTTCGGACTCTGCTCAGTGGGAGCCTGCTTCTCCTCTGCTCTCCCTCTGCCTGCAGCTCTGCTTACTTGTGCACTTGGGCTTACTCATGTGCGCTCTCTCTCTCTCTCTCTCTCTCTCTCTCAAATAAATAAAATCTTTTTTAAAGAATTAAATAACTAAAATGTGGTAGAGCTATGGTTTAAACCTAGGTAGTCTGATTCCCAGATTACCATTTGTCAATGCTGTGCTATTACTGGAATTTCATGGTATAGCTGGACAAAACAGGATTTCAGTTATATGAAATCAGTAAATGTTTAATCTCCTGCTGAAGTAAAATGAGTCTTTTATGTTTTGATAATTACACTTCATGTTGAGTCTTTGCATATGTGTACAGCCTTGTTTGCAGCCTTGTTTTTTTAGTTTCTTATTAAGTGAAAAAAATTTCTTCTTTTTCAGTTTGGTAATTCTATTGTCAGCACACCTCTAAAACGTCGTAAAGTGACACCTCAAGAAACTTTAGTTGATCCTGTATCTTTAAGCTGCCAAAGTTCCTTTGACAGTGTCATTTTAAACTGTCGAAGTATACGAGTAGGAACACTCTTCCGGCTATTAATAGAGCCTGTAATTGTAAGTATATTTGTAAGCTTTTTACTGTACCAGTTATGAGATTCAAAATTCCATAGCTAAGGCTAATATATAATTTAAAATTTGTAAATTAAAATATTTAACTTAATAGAATATTAAAGATTATTTAAAGATTTCAAATTGCTTTAAGAGTATGTAGACAAGGGGATCCCTGGGTGGCGCAGTGGTTTGGCGCCTGTCTTTGGCCCGGGGCCCGATCCTGGAGACCCGGGATCGAATCCCACGTCGGGCTCCCGGTGCATAGAGCCTGCTTCTCCCTCTGCCTATGTCTCTGCCTCTCTCTCTCTCTCTGTGACTGTCATAAATTAAAAAAAAAAAAAGAGTATGTAGACAAGTATAAATGGCTCCTTAAAATAAAAAACAATGAATTAAAATTTATGATATTTCAGGTAGTGACATATTCATCATAGATAATATTCTCACTGAGTTAGGAAACCATTATGTTACTGTTTTATTCTCATGCCAGCTCAGTGCATGGAAAGAGTATTTTAAAGAATGGCAATGAGAGAAAGAAGAATCCAAAAGCTTTGGGGCTACAGAAAAATGTCTTGCAACATTAAGACTCCTAGAAATAGATTATTGGAATAAATTGCCACTCAGGAGGCATTGTGCTTTTGGACTAGTTTGGTGTCTGCAAAGCCCAAAGGACTTTCTATAGTTCTTTTATTGTACTTGTCATACCTGTTAATTCTGCTGCCACCAGTCTAATTCAATGTGTAATTTCTATTTGAAATTTTAATATAATCTCCTTAACCAGCCTTCTTAGTCATCATCTTTCTTCTTTCTAATGTATTATATGCATTATTCATAGATTTTTTCTTTTTTTTTTCATTATTCATAGATTAATCTTCCTATAGCACTGCACTTAGTTTGTAACCTTTTATTTTATAAAGACTTAACTTGGTGTCTGAAGCTGTTTTCATTTATTCTTTCAAACCCAGTCTGCTAGTATTGTTCTTGATACATAAAGCATAAAAGTCTTTAAGAAAACATTATATTATATCAGGAAAGGAAAAAAGTTTTATTAATATTATTTAAATTATGGTAAGTAGTAGCTATTTTTTTTTCTAGGAGTAGTAGTTTCAGGATACAATATGATCAATAGGAAAAAAAAAAGGCCCTATCAGTTAGTGTATGAGAAAGTAAATTACGGATCTGATTTCTTACTACAGCAAAGCTATATGGGAAACCTGCAATTTTTTTTAAATCATTAACTCCAGCTTCTCACCATTTAAAAACTAGTAATCCAGAGATTTAAAGCAAATTATACAGACTACACTATCTAGTACCCAGTAACATTGTAACATACATTAGGGTTGTGAGAGATTTATGAAATTTGTGTTTTATTACAAGCCTTCTTCGTATAGATTATCTTTTCCTAGTTTCTGTTAACAAAAAGTATCATTATAAGTCAGAATACCTCAAAACTTCTCAGGGGGGGATCCCTGTGTGGTGCAGCGGTTTGGCGCCTGCATTTGGCCTGGGGTGCGATCCTGGAGACCCGGGATCGAATCCCACGTCGGGCTCCCGGTGCATGGAGCCTGCTTCTCCCTCTGCCTGTGTCTCTGCCTCTCTCTCTTTCTCTCTGTGTGACTATCATAAAAAAAAAAAAAAAAAACCTTATCAGGGGTACCCTATAGGTTTTATGGCTTTTCCCCACATTAACATTATTATTCAGAGCTTTTCAACATGATAATTAAGGTTTTCCTAATAATTTAGATGTTTAGTTGAAAGTTGCATATTTGGTTGCAAGGTTGGCTAACAACTACATTAGGACACCTGGCTGGCTCAGTCAGTAGAACATGCGACACTTGATCTCAAGGTTGTGAGTTCGAGCTCCATTTTGGATGTAGAGGTTACTTTAGAAAAAAAAGAGTACTGCATTAAAATTAAATTTTTTTTACATGAAAGTTACATGTTAGATTATATATGATATATAGTGGAAGAAACGAACTGCATGAATTTAAGAAATAAAAGGCAAAAAGTTTTTTAAATTTTAAAAAAGCAAAGTATTTGCAATATAAAATGTGTTCATACAGGTTTATTTTTTTAATGCTTAATATTTCAACCAAAAATAATTGTATTTTTATTGTGGAATTTTGTGATCTGTGATATTAACTTTCCTTGTACCATGGGATTTTTCTAGAGAACATTCTTTGATAAAGGATAATTAATCTATAATTTCTTCAGAAAATGTATTAAAAATAAAGATGATTTAGGGCACATAGGTGGCTCAGCTTCTTAAGCATCAACTCTTGATTGTGGCTCCAGTCATGATCTCAGGGCCATGGGATCAAGCTCTGCATCAGGCTCCTGCTGGGCGTGGAACCTACTTGGAATTCTCTCTCCTTCTCACTGTGCCCCTCACTCTGGCCTCTCTTTCTCTTTCTCTCTCTAAAAAAAGAGAAAATAATAATAATAAAATGAAATGATTTGACATTTTTTTCTTGAATATAACTTCCTTATGTTTTTATAGTGAGATGATTTATCTGCCATGTCATCATTAATCTCAGAAACAGATTTTAAATTTTTTACTATTGGGGAGGCCCAGGTGGCTCAGTGGTTTAGCGCCGCCTTCAGCCCAGGGCCTGATCCTGGAGACCCGGGATCAAGTCCCACGTCAGGCTCCCTGCATGGAGCCTGCTTCTCCCTCTGCCGTTGTCTCTGCCTCTCTCTCTCTCTTTGTGTCTCTCATGAATAAATAAATAAAATCTTTTTTAAAAAAATAAATGTTTTACCATTTTAAGTATTTTATCAAATCTCATTTATTATTGGTTAATTTAATTATTTTAAATTCATTCATTGCAAGTAGCGGTACTATCTAGAAGTGCCAATTTTAAATCCTTTTTTTTTTTTTTAAGATTTTATTTATTCCTTTGAATAAATAAAGGGGAGGCAGAGAGAGAGGGAGAAGCAGGCTCCCTGCTCAGCCCCAATGCAGGGCTTGATCCCAGGACCCTGTGATCATGATCTGAACCAAAGATAGAGGCTTAACTGACTAAGCCACCCAGGCGCCCTGCCAATTTTAAATCATTTTATTTTGTTCTTAAATAAGCTCTCTGTGCCCATTGTGGACTGAACTCATGACTCAGATCAAGAGTCACATACTCTACTAAGTGAGCCAGCCATTTTTATTTAAAAGTAGTGTCAATTTGGGCAGCCCCGGTGGCACAGCGGTTTAGCACCGCCTTCAGCCCAGGGCGTGATCCTGAGACCCGGAATCGAGTCCCACGTTGGGCTCCCTGCATGGAGCCTGCTTCTCCCTCTGCTTGTGTCTCTGCCCCCTCCCCCTCTCTCTCTGTGTGTCTCTAATAAATAAATAAAAATTTAAAAAAAAATCTTAAAAAAAAGTAGTGTCAATTTTATTTGAAAGTAAATACTTTTATTTTACGGGGAAATGGCTTACATTATTAGTAAGTAAGTTCCAATATAATACAGTTCCTCATTTTTCCAGTGAGAAAAATGAGAAGATACAAAATCAAGGTTTTTAGCCAATATAATACAGTTCCTCATTTTTCCAGTGAGAAAAATGAGAAGATACAAAATCAAGGTTTTTAGCCAACGTAAATTTAGAAGCTCTTGGAGATTATGGTGAAATGTCTACTTGTAATTTACTTACAAATTTTTAAAGGACAGATACTTAACATCTACTTCTTTCTATTTTTACATAACTTTAGCTTCTATGTATGTAGGAATGTTTCCCAAGCTGTCAGTAAGCATTTTTGGTGTCCCCAAAAACAGTCCTCAAACAGTGTGTTCTCAAACACAGTCTTTAGAAGGGTATAGTTTGTATTACATTTTAGACTTTGCAGTTGTAATAATTACTAAATGTATATTTCTTTGTTTCCTTTTTCTACATTGTAGAAGTTTTGAAACAGAAAAGTTGAAATAGGTGGCTCAGCGGGTTAAGTGTCTGCTTTTGACTCAGGTTATGATCATAGGGTCCTGAGATCAAGCCCTGAACTGGGCTCTCTGCTCAGCAGGGAACATGCTTCTCCCCCTCTCTCTGACTTCCCGCTAATTGTGCACGCGCTTGCTCTCTGTCAAATAAATAAATAAAATCTTTAAAAAAATTTTTTTATTAAAATTTAAATTAAAAAATTTTAAAGATTTCTTTTATTTATTCATGAGAGACACACAGAGAGAGGTAGAGACACATAGGCAGAGTGAGAAATAGGCTCCATGCAGGGAGCCTGATGTGGCAGTCAATCCTGGGACTCCAGGATCACTCCTTGGGCCGAATGCAGATGCTTAACTGGTTGCTGAGCCACCCACGCATCCCTAAAATATTTTTTTTTTAAAGAGTTGAAATAATTTTACAGTGAACACTCCTAAAAGTCCCAGTTAGATCCTGCCATTAGCATTTTACTAAACTTAAACTTGTTTTTTGTATATCTATTCATCCTTCTATATATCAGTCCAAATCACTTATTTTTTTTTCATTTGTTTTTATTTGAAGTTCAATTTGCCAACATATAGCAACACTTATTTTTAAGTAGGCTCCATACCCAATATGGATCTTTAACTCTCACAACTCTGAGAGCAAGAGTTGCATGCTCTACGGAGTGAGCCAGGCACCCTCCAATTAACTAATTAATTATTAAAATTTTAGTTAGTAAACATATAGTGCAATATTGGTTTCTGGAATAAAATTCAGTGATTCATAACTTATATACAACACCCAGTACTCATCACAGGTGCCGTCCTTAATGCCTTTCATCCATCTAGCCCATCTCCCGCTTCTCTCCTCAATTCGTTCTCTATTGGAAAGAGTCTTTTGTGTTTTGGGAGCACCTGTTGGCTCTGGGGTTAACCGTCTAACTTCGGATTTCATCTTAGGTCATGATCCTAGGGTTTCAAGATCAAGCCCCCATGTCAGGCTCCAAGCTGGGTGTGGAGCCTGCTTAAGATTCTTAAGATTCTTTCTCCCCTTTTCCTCTACCCCTCTTCACCCTCTCTTTCTCAAAAGAAAAAAAAAAGTCTCTTATGGTTGTTTCCCTCTCCTATTTTTCTTTTCCCCCTTCCCATATGTTTTTTCTGTTTTTCTTCTTAAATGAGTGAGTCATATGGTATTTATTCTTACTCTGACTTATTTCACTTAGCGTAATACATCTAGCTCCATCCACATCATTGCAAATGGCCTCTATTTTCAAATGCATTTTGGAATTCTTGTTTACTTTTTTCATTCTCTCAACACAACATTATAAAGTGAGTATTAATTCAGGATACGGTGAGCTTAATATTTCTTTCTATGTCAAAATAATTCAATTAGAAAACCACCTTTTATAACTACCAATAGTAACTGATTGATGCAAGATCTTCAGTGGATGGTAAAGCCATTCGCAGAAAGGTTATTAGGGAACAGGATATAAACCAGCTTTCAGGTATCTCTCCACAGATTACTATTTAATTACTAAGGGAAAAATACATCTTTACATTGCTTTTGCCAAGTGATTAAGCTTGTATCTGTAATGGGACAGCCTAACATGTGCCTTCCAGTATGATAATAAAAGGAGGTGCAAAATATCACCTGTGTGCTATATTTGCTGGAAATGTATGACCTAAATTTTAAAATGTAGCAACACAAGTTCAAGATGTATATATTTTGCAGATCTTAGCCTGGATTCTTCAAAGGCTATGTCATAAAGAACAGAAGGGGGCATTTCTGGTCTAGACTAGGGTAGACAAAAGAGGCAAATATAACCTTGACAGAACATGGATTGGAGAAGTTAAAACACAATAAAGAACAATTTTGAATAATTGGGGAAATTTGAGTAATAAGTATATGTTGGATGGAGTTAATCTTGATTTTTTTTAGATGTGGTAATGCTGTTTTGGTTGTGTAGGAGAATGTCCTTGTTCTTGGGAGATACATCCTGAAAGATTTAGAGATGGAATATCATGATGCCTTCTGCTTGCCATTTTATGTTGGTTTAGCAAAAGGGGGGTGTGTATGTACATAGAAAGAGTGATGGGGATTAGGCAAGGCAAAATTTTAATACTTGGTGACTCTAGATAAAGAATATTCAGGTATTGATTGTAAAATTTGGTCAATGTCTCTTTGGAGTTATAAGAAATAAACTGATAATATAAGACATGTTCTAAGTGCTTGAATTAAAAGGTGAAGCTTGCCTTTCTGAAGATAATTTGGAATGAGGGGATAGCTCATATTTAAGTACATGGTAGATGGTTTTGTTTTTCCGCCTTCTATAGTCTAAGTTTCAGTGTGTCATTTACAGTATTTGTAGCAAAATCTTCATTAAGTCTATGGTACTAATTTCTTACTTTTTAGTTTTGTTTAGATTTTATCAAGATACAGCTAGAAGGTAAGCTATTTTATGTCTTTTTAGTCACTAAAGCTTTCTTTACAATAAAACACTTTACAGGAATAAAATATTAAATGATATTCATGGATTCATGAATATGATTACTTATATATTCTTAACAGAGGGCATGTATCTTAATAGTGTAATTTTATTCTGTAACATCATAAAACCTATGTTTAATTTTATAAGTATACTTCATTAGAATCTTCTTCATTTGAAAAAATATAGAAGCTTCTTTAATATAGTTATAAAAATTTTTCATATCCCACTATAGTTAATATACATAGATGTAGCAAATATGTGGTTAACTTTAATCTTGTATTTCCTCACCGTTTCCTCCATTCATGATTTTAAGAATTGATTCCTTTTCTAATTCCATTTATTTTCCTCCAGAACCAGAAAATGATCCTGTAGGGATTACTTTAAATACCTCTGATCTAACTAAATGTGAATGGTGTAATGTCCGAAAATTACCAGTTGTGTTTCTTCAGACAATACCAGCAGTTTATCAAAAGCTGAGCATGCAACTGCAAATGAATATGGAGGATAAAGTTTGGAATGATTCTAAAGGAATAAATAAATTAACAAGTAAGTTTTTAGGACACATTATAATACATACAGTGCATTGCATAACAGTGTGAGTGTGCTTTAAGCAAACAGATGTCTTAGATGTTATTTTTATCCACAATCTTCATAGTGATCTTGTAAGATCTATAATTATATATAATTATTATATATAATTATATATATATATATTTATATATATATAAAGCCCACAGAAGTGGAATTTGTAAAGATAAAACTCTCCACCATGCCTCCCTCCCCCAATAAACCCTCCCTCACACCTTCAAAAAAAACAAAAACAAAAACAAAAAAAAAAACATGGTCCCCACTAAAGATGAAACTCAGGTTTACCCACTTCGAAAGTTTTCAGGGGCACCTGGGTGGTTCAGTAGTTGAGTGTCTGCCTTTGGCTCAGGGCATGATCCCGGGGTCCTGAGATCAAGTTCTGCATCAGGCTCCCCACAGGGGAACTACATCTCCCTCTGCCTATGTTTCTGCCTCTCTCTCTCTCTCTGTCTCTCATGAATAAATGAATAAAATCTTAAATTTTTTTTTCAAAATGAGTTAAAACTCAAAAGAGATCTGCACTCCTATTTTAACACTATAATTTGAGTAAGACGAAAAATTTTTAATGCACTATAGGAGTGCTAAATATAAATCAACCATATAATTCTGGAATCCTTGAAACAGCCTGAGTAGGAACTTTGCTGGCTCATAGATAGGTCTTTATCCTCTACAATAATAGAAGTAGTTCTCCAGTTTGTTTCCCTTCACCTCTAACATTTAGCATGACTAATTGTAAAGTAAATACTTTTCATCAGTTAATTGTTGCTTTATCTTAATGATGAATAAAGAATAGCTACTATTAAAGCTGCAAGAATTGGCACATTAGTGAGTAGGAGTTTTTGCAGTTAAATTCTCTAGAGATACTGATAGTTCACCTGGCAGTTTTTTATTTGTGTTTGACAAAAATGTTAATTGAAATATATTTAAAACTCTATGTATGTGTATCCTATTAAATGAATTAGTTACATCCATATATAGATTTGTTCTTGAGCTTGCAGCTTGCTGCTAGGGTAATGTATTCTGGTTCCTGTGTCTTAATAACTTTTAGGTAACATTGCTGGGTGACACTGTCATTGTCTTTATTCCAGTATTGTGTATCTATTGTATATCAAACAGTATTTTGAACACTGACACCAGGATTTCTGATGATATCCTTGAAATAACTAGTTGTTACTCTTTTTCCGTATCTGTTTATCTGTTTTTGTTTTTCCTCTTAAAGTTATTATTTTTTTTTCAGATTTGGAAGAACAATACATAATTTTAATTTTTCAAAATGGCCTAGATCCTCAGGCAAATATGGTATTTGAAAGTATCATTACTGACATTGGTATAAAGAACAATGTGTCCAATTTTTTTGCAAAAATTCCCTTTGAAGAAGCCAATAGCAGACTTGTTGCCTGTACAAGAACCTATGAAGAGAGCATCAAAGGAAGTTGTGTGCAAAAAGAAAACAAAATTAAAAATGTAATTATGTTTTTTAGTTTTTTAAATCTTGAGTAGCTTTAAAGGGAAATATGTTTCATTATTCTACTGCTCATTTTGGACTTAGATATTTTTAATTCCATTTCAGAATTATTTGCTTTTATATGTTATTTGTAAACTATCTTGTGTCAAAACATTAATGGTGGGTAGGTGACTTGTGACAAAAATAGTAGTTGGTACAGGTCTCAGAAACAGTTCCTTTCCACATTCTTACTCTTATCTCTTTATCTTTTCTTTTTTCTCTCATCCTGTTTTCTTTTCCCTCCACTCTGAACATGCATGCTCATATACTGCTACATTGAAATTGTTACTCTTAAATTTGCTAGTGGTTCCCACTGATGCCATTGGCTTCAACAGATAAAGGAATTTTGGTCCTTGATGTACATTTATATGTAACATGTGCATACATGTTTGAAAATTTAGGAAACAAAGAATATCTGCCTTTTGATTGTCACTGTCAATATATGTACCCAATCCTAGAATAACTATATAGTGAATAACTCCGAAGCCACCTAAACCAAAGGCTGTGTATTCTTTTAACATATGGTATAATGTTATAAGACACAGATTTGTGGCCTAACCCTGCAACTGAATTTTCCTGACTTAATTTATTAGAAATACTTTAAATCTTTCAACCTGCCTACAGATTGGAAATATGGCTATCCAAGGCACAATCTTAGTGAAGTTGAGCGAGGTCTCACCAGAGAAGAGCTATTCACACGGTTAGTGGTTTGATGAAAAGAACAGAAGGAAGGGGAATCATTCCCCTTCTTTTGCAGAACTTGCTACAAGAGTATTAAGAAGAAAGAAAAGAGCATCAGGAGCCATAAGGCAGCTGTGATAGAAAAAAATATGAGTGTAATGCTCTTTCTTTAAGGACTTCTTCATTCTGAGGAACTGAAGCTCATTGGACTGTGTTTCCTGAGCCTCTACTCCCATATCCCATGGATTGCCTAGTAATTGAACTTAGGTAGGCCTCCACTCCCAGAATCAAAAACCACTACATCTGTTCTTTGGATTTACAAACATAATCTAATTTAATAAGGATGATAGAAGTGATAGACAAGATACCAAAAAACCATTGTTAAAAAAAACTGGGAGAGTATCACTGCTCTAGAAACTATACATACAAAGAATGTGGGTCCTGGTTTTTCCTGTTTCTTATTTTTGTTAAAAATCATGTATACTTTTTTAAATGCATATTTTTAAATTTCTTATATTCTAAAGTATTCATGCCTTGTGCTTTGCTTTTTTTTATTGAAAATTTCACAGTTGATTTTGTAAACTGATAATTTAATTTCCTTTACCAGGTGTCCCTTGAATCTAAAATACAACTTAAAAACAAACAAGAATTCCAGTTTTTTGATGATGATGAAGAAACTGGAGAGAATCATACCATCTTCATGGGCCCTGTAGAAAAGTGAGAGTATTAATTTACATTTGCAATGCTTTTAACTTCCTTTTCTACTTTATTACATATCAATTACACACGTACACGTATATTTTTTCATTTGCTTGGGTTTCTTTCTTTTTTAAAAGTTGGTTATATGTTTTATTTTGTTACAGATTGATAGTATATCCACCACCTCCAGCTAAGGGAGGCATCTCTGTTACTAATGAGGACCTGCACTGTCTAAGTGAAGGAGAATTTTTAAATGACGTTATTATAGACTTTTATTTGAAGTAAGTTCATCTTCTACTTTCGTTTAGCATATCTTTAACATCCTATCGTGTTACGTCTTTGTTTTCTAGAATCAGAACGATTGGGTTTTGAATTCTGTCACTGCTACTTATGTGACAGGGAAATTATTTAATGTTTCTACCTGTGTTTTCTCATTTAAAAAGTGAGAATAAGAATAATAAGATCTCAAGGGTATGAGAATTAAATACGTGTCAAGCACTAGGAAAATGCTTGTTATATGCAGCATGTTCAGCTTATTGTGTTATACTGCTTTAAGCCTTTAAAAAACTGGTACTACTCTAAATTAGGTAATAAACCTTTGAGCAAGCACAGAAGTGTGATTTTACTTGATATTCATCAAGTGCCAGCGTTGTGCAGCATACTGTGTTAGAAGTTTATGATCTTGTAGGGAACACAAATATGGGATTAAAGCATTGACAGAAACATTAACATGGTATAGATGCAGCACCAAAGAATGCTTCATTCTCTTTGGGGGTTGGGAAATGTAACCAAGAAGCTTTCCTGGAAGAGCTTACATCATGACCCAGTATACACATGCATATACATGTATGTGCAGTGGGTTTATACATGTATAAATCTGTATGTGTTTACTGGTTTGTGATATAAAATGAGTGTGTATATGCAACAAAACAGAACTTAACTATTAGTATATCCAGCACTTGCCAATATTTTCTAGTTTATTCAAATGTATTTCATAAAACAACGTTTTTTTAAAGAACTGATTGTTGAAAGCTGCTGAATTGATTTTATAGCCTACTAATGGTTGTAGTTAACAGTTTGGGAAAAGAATACATTGATCAGAGACACAGTATCATAATTGAACTTCCTTAAGATCATTTTGAAAAGCATGTTCATTGTGTATGTCTAGATCAGAGATGATTTGAGGAGATTTAATTAAGGTGATATAAGCCTGATTAAGGGGCACTTGTATGTCTCAGTTGGTTAAGCTTCCAACCTCTGAATTCAAGCCCCCCGTTGGGCTCAACACTAAGTGTAGCCTACTTAAAAAAAAAAAAAACCAATTCATTAAGCCATTATAATTGGCGTGAAGAGGAAGTGTTTTTTAAGAGGTAGAGTTGTTTAGCAACTGAATGGATGGATATTAAGAGGAATGGATGACAGATAACTCCATGCTTTCTAACTAGTGAGACCTGTTAAATGATTTTGTCACTGACTGTGAAGAATGAACAAAAAAACAGAACAGTTTTGGGTGGAGGAAGGGATAAGTTCATTTTTAAATGTTTGTGACACAACCAAAGGGACAGTACCAATGAACAGTTGAGTATAATGGCTCTTGAGGTTTTTGAGTTCTGGCCTGGAGACATAGAGAGTTAGGGGGCTTTATTTTGCAAGTGGTACTTTAATTATGAGGAAGGGGTAAAATTGCTTAGGTAGAAATATAGAGTGAGAAAAAGCTATAAGGACAGAATCTGGAGAGCTAGAGAAGAAAGATTCTTATGAATAAATTCTGAAGGATCTGAGAAGTAAGAAGAAAAATCCAGAGTTGAGTTGTCATGAAATTGAAGGGAAGTGAAAGCTTTAAAGGAAGATACATTTAGTAGTCAGTCGAGATTAAGGCAGATAAGAGCTAAGAATAACTTTAAGGTCACAGTGACCCTGTCAATATACAGAGCTGGACTTGCACCCTGGTCCCTGGGGGATAATGAGGTACTCTGTTTTCTCTCTATCCAGCAGAAGTAGTATCGGTGGAGACGTGGTGGGGAGACTCCCATCCCTACTCATCAGTAACACAGAGCTCTTCTGTTTCTCATAATAGTGGCCTAGTAGAGAACCTGAACTTCACCTCCATCTGGCTGTAATGAGGTGGAGCCCACTACACCTACCGGAAGATGGCCAGGGGAGGTCTACAAGAATTAAATAAGTTGTAGGTTCCCGTAACATAATACTCAAAATGCCTATATTTCCATTGAAAATCACTTACGTGACCAATAAGCAGAAAGAGCTCAAATGGAATGAGAAAACATAATGTAAATAGAAAGTCAACACCAGGATGGCACAGATATTAGAATTATAGAATTAGAATTATGACAGATTTTGAAGCATCCATTATAAAAATCCTTCAGGGAACCATTGTGAACAAAAGTGAAACTTAAGAAAAACTAGATATAAAGAAGAAAGAAATGGAAATTTTAGAACTAAAACTATAATAACAAATAAAAGCCTTAACAGACTCAACAGCAAAATGGAGAGGACAGAGGAAAGAATCAGTGACCTAGAAGATAGAACTTATCACTAACTACATCCACCTTATTTATTTATTTACTTTGAAGATTTGTGTTGACGGGGGAAGGAACAGTGAGAGAGAGAAAAAGATACTCTCAAGCAGGCTCCCTGCTGAGCATGGAGCCCAAAGTGAAGCTCAGTCTCAGGACTCTGAGATCATACCCTGAGTGGAAATTGAGAGTTGGATGCTCAACTGACCAAGTCATCCAGGCACCCCTAACTTCTTTTCTTTTCTCTTTTCTTTTCTTTTCTTTTCTTTTCTTTTCTTTTCTTTTCTTTTCTTTTCTTTTCTTTCTTTCCAACATTCATTTTAAATGCACTATTTATGTTAATGAAAAGACCAAGATTGGCAAAGTTGTGGATTAATTAAACACCATAGGCCAACTATGTCCTATCTGCAAAAAAGTGACTTCAAAGATAATAATATATGTAAATTGAAAATAAAAGGATAGAAAAATATATACCAAGCAAATATTCAAGCGAGATTTAACTATATTATTATTAGAAAAATAAACTTTAGAACAAAAACAATTACCAGGGGTAGAAAGGGATACTCTACAATGCTAAATAAATCCACCAAGAAGACTTAGCAATCCTAAATAGGTATGTACCATACAACAGAGCTACAAAATATATAAATCAAAAATGAACCTATCTAATAAGGGAAACAGACAAATCCACAAAGATGGAGACTTCAGTTGCCTTCTCTCAACAATTGATAGAATAACTAAATTCGAACAAGGTCAACAACATCATCAGCTATAAAAGATATGCTTCATGTCAGGGCATAATATTATATTCCTATTTATGTTAACTATACCCATTTTCAAAGGTACTGTTTTTCTTTTGAAGATTTGATAGTAATGGATTATATTTCAATAAGTTATAAAATGTATCCTAGATTTGCTAGCAGGAGAAAGTGTCATAGATTTTAAATGCTTAACTTTGCAGATGTTAGATTCCTCTGAGACCTAACAAACACATTTAAGAATGAGTTGGGGAGAAAAATGAGTTCAAAGTTCTTCATAGTTAAGACAAAAGATGTTATCTCATACAAATGGCCAACAAATGTATGAAAAATCTTCCATATTATTCATCAGAGAAATACAAGTCAAACCCACAGAGAATTATCTGAACCCCATTAGGATGGCTACTATCAAAAAAAGAGAGAGAGAGAGAGAGAGAGAGAGAAAAGAAGTGTTGCCAAGAATCCAACGCAAATTGGATTCCTTTTGTACTGCTGGTGGGAATGTAAAATGGTATAGCCACTAAAGAAAACAGTATGGTGGCCCCTCAAAAATTAAAAATAGGATTACCCTATGATCCAGTGATCCTGTTTCTGGGTATATATCCACAAGAATTGAAAATATGGTCTCAAAGAAGTACTTGGCTAGTATGAACGTGGGTGTTCAAGAGATGGAAGCAGCTCACATGTCCATTAATGGATGAATGGATAAAATGTATATAGATACCGTGGAATATTATTCAGTTTTAAAACGGAAGGAAAGCTAACACAAGCTACAGCATGGATGAATCTAAAAGACGTTATGCAAAAATGAAATAAGCCAGTCACAAAAACAAGTATAATTCCACTTATATTAGGTATCTGAAAGAGTCAAAGTCATACAAAAAGAAAATAAATGATGGTTATCAGAAGCTGAAGGGTGAGGGGAAAAGAATTTTTTAATGAGTATAGAGTTTCTGTTTTGCAATATGAAGTTCTAGAGATCTGTTTCACAACCATGTGAATATACTTAACATTCTTGAACTGTGCACTTAAAAATGGTTAAGATTGGGTGGTGCCTAGCTGGCTCAGTTGGTAGAGCATGCAACTCTTGATCTAGGGATTGTTGAGTTCAAGCCTCACGTTGGGTACAGAGATTACTTAAAAGTAAAAATTTGTTAAAAAAAATGTTTAAGATTGAGAGTGCCTGGCTGGCTCAGTCAGTGGAGCAAGATCCTTGGTCTTGGGATTGTGGGTTCAAGCCCACGTTAGGTATAAAGATTATTTAAAAATAAAATCTTTTAAAAAAATTGTTAAGATTGTAAATTTGAGATTATGCATTTCATCATAATTTTTGAAAAAGATATCTCTTAATTCTAATGTATACCACCTTAAGAAACTGAGCGAAAAGTCTTGACTGTGCAGAACAATGCTATTGTTGGATGAAGTGTTCTGTGAATGTCACTTTGGCCAAGTTGTTTGACAGTACTGTTTGGGTCATCTTTGTCCATACTGATTTTATGCCTATTTGTTCTATCAATTATTGAAAAGATTATGGATCTCCAAGTATAATAATGGGTTTGTCTATTTTTCCTTTCAAATCCATTTTTGCCATATGTATTTTGAATATTTGTCAGGTGCATACAAGTTTACATTTCTTGGAGAATCAACTCTTCATGGTTTGTAATGTCCTGCTATATTCTTGATAATGTCTTTGTTCTTAAGCCTGCTTTGTTCTAAATGAATATAGTTACTCCAGCTTTCTGTTGGTTTTTGTTTGCATGGTATGTATTTCTTCATCCCTTTACTTTTAACTCTTTATATTTAAAATAGGTTTTGCTTTTTAAAGCATATAGTTGGATCTAAAACATAAATTGAAACCCTATTTTGTTTTCATTGTGGTTTATTTATACTTAAATCTTTACTATTTATAGTGTGATAAGAGATTTTATAGTATTTTTATATACTCAAAATTCTTTACATTTTCAGGAGGCTCCTTGACATTTTATAGTAGCACTTTAAAATTACATTAAACTTAAGTTATCTAAACGTTTTGCCTTTTCTGATGCAAAAAAAAATATTCTAAATGAAAAAGGAAACCTAACAAAATCCATGTTTTTTTTTAAAAAATATGTTTATGGGATGCTGGGAGGCACACAGTTGGTTGAGTGTCCAACTTGATTTCAGCTCAGGTCATAATCTCAGGGTCCTGGGATTGTGCCCCACATCATACTCCCCACTCAGCAGAGAATCTGCTTGGGGGTTTTCTCCCTCACTCCCCTCTCCATGGTTGCCCCCCCCCCCCACTTTGTACTTTAGCTCTTTCTCTCTCTAAAATTAAATAAATATATCTTTAAAAATAAAAATTTGGGATGCCTGGGTGGCACAGTGGTTGGGTGTTTGCTCTTGGCTCAGGGTATGATCCTAGAGTCCTGGGATCAAGTCCCACATCGGGCTCCCCAGAGAAAGCCTGCTTCTACCTCTGCCTATGTCTCTGCCTTTCTCTCTGAGCCTCTCTTGAATAAACAAAAATCTAGTAAATAAATAAAATAAAAAGTTGTTTATATTTGTCTCGTGACATGCTTAAAAGTGAATTAAAAAGAAACTTTTTTGTTAAACTTCACTATGTTAAAATAAGTATTCAAATACTACCAGAGCTGCTCATTCTTTTCCATTTCTAATTCTATAAGTAGGAAACAAACTTTTTTTCCAATGACTTTTTATTTCCTTGACATACAGTGTTGTGTTAGTTTCAGGTGTACAGTATAATGGTTCAACAATTCTATATATTACTCAGTCCTCATCAAGATAAGTGTATTCTTAATCCCTATTATCTAGTTCATTTATCCCCCCCACCCACTTCTCTGGTGACCACCAGTTTGTTCTCTGTATTTACAAGTCTTATGAGGAGGTTCTTTCTTTTTTTTTTCATTTGTTGTCTTGTTTCTTAAATGCTACACATGAATGAAATCATGTATTTGGCTTTCTTCACCTTATTTTACTTAGCATATACCCTCTGGGTCCATTCATGTTGTTGCAAATGGCAAGATCTCATTCTTTTTGATGGCTGAGTAATAATCCGTGTGTGTGTGTGTGTGTGTGTGTGTGTGTGTGTGTGCACACACCACAGTTTTATCCATTCATATTTGGGTAATTTGGTTTGTTTCCATGTCTTGGCTATTGTAGATAATGCTGTGATAAAAACCTGTGGGTGCATATGTCTTTTCAAATAGTTGTTTTCATTTTCTTTGGATAAATACTCAGTAGTGGAATTACTGGATTATATGGTAATTCTATTTTTGATTTTTTGAGGTACCTCCTACTGTTTTTCCATAGTGGTTGTACCAACTTGGATTCCTACCAACAGTGCATGAGGGTTCCTTTTCCTCCACTCTTTCACCAATACTTGTTATTTCTTGTGTTTTTTTATTTTACTATACTGACAGGAATTTAGTGATATCTCTTTGTGATTTTGATTTGAATTTCCCAATGATTAATGATGTTAAGCATCTTTTCATATGTCTGTTAGCCACTGTATGTCTTTGGGAAAATGTCTATTTATGCCTTCTGCCCATTGTTAATTGGATTATTTGATTTTTTTTTTCTTTTTCATGTTGAGTTGTATTAGTTCTCTATATATTTTGGATATTAACCCCTTGTTGGATATGTCATTTGCAGATATGATATCTTCTCCCATTTCATAGATTACTTTTTTATTTTGTTGATGGTTTCCTTCACTGTGTAAAACTGTTTTTTGGTGTAGTCCCAAGAGTTTAATTTTGCATTTGTTTCCCTTGCCTGAAGAGTTATATAGAAAAATGTTTCTATGATGTCAGAGAAATTACTGCCTGTGTTTTCTTCTAGGATTTTTATGGTTTCAGTCTCACATTGGGATCTTTAATCTATTTTGAGTTTATTTTTGTGTATGGTATAAGAAAATGGTCCAGTTTTATACTTCTGCATGTAGCCGTGCAGTTTTCCTAACACTTAGTTGAAGAGACTCTTTTCCCCATTGTATATTCTTGCTTCCTTTGTTGTAGATTGACATATAAGTGTGGGTTTATTTCTGGGCTCTCTATTCTATTACATTGATCTATGTGTTTATTTTTGTGCTGGTGCCATACTGTTTTGATTACTACTACTTTGTAGTATTTCTTGAATTTGAGATTGTGTTACCTCTGGCTTTGTTCTTTTTCAAGATTGCTTTAGCTATTCTGGGTCTTTTGTGGTTCCATACAAATTTTAGTATTATTTGTTCTAGTTCTGTAAAAAAATGTTGGTATTTTTATAGGGATTATATTAAATCTGTGGATTGCTTTGGGTAGTATGGACATTTTAGAGTATGGGTTCTCCCAATCCATGAGCATGGAATATCTTTACATTTGTTCGCATCATCTTTAGTTTCATTCAATTAGTGTTTTGTAGTTTTCAAAGTATGCGTCTTTTACTTCTTTGGTTAAAGATGTTCCTAGGTATTAATTTTTCCTTCTTCTACTTCCTTATTGGTGTATAATCAACAGGTTCTGTAGATTAAATTTGTGTCCTGTGACTTTGATGAATTTATTTATCAGTTTAGTAGTTTTTCTTTGATAGTTTTTTTTTTTTTTTTTTTTAAGAGATGGAGGAAGAGGGGTCAGGGGGAGAAAAGAATCTTAAGCAGGCTCCATGCCCAGCGCAGAGCCTGACATGGGGCTCAAACTCATGACCGAGCCAAAATCAAGAATTGGACGCTTAAGTGATTGAGCAACCCAGGTGCCCCTTTCCAGTGGAGTCTTTAGGGTTTTCTACATATAGTATCATATCATCTTTAAATAGTGAAATTTTTATTTCTTCCTTAGCAATGTGGTTGCTTTTCAATTTTTCTTGTCTGATTGCTGTGTTAGGACATCTAGTACTATATTAAATTAAGAATTTTGAAAGTGGGATCCCTGGGTGGCGCAGCGGTTTGGCGCCTGCCTTTGGCCCAGGGCGCGATCCTGGAGACCCGGGATCGAATCCCACATCGGGCTTCCGGTGCATGGAGCCTGCTTCTCCCTCTTCCTGTGTCTCTGCCTCTCTCTCTCTCTCTCTCTCTGTGACTATCATAAATAAATAAAAAAAAAAATTAAAAAAAATTTTTGAAAGTATACATCCTTATTCTGTTCCTGATCTTAGAGGAAAAGTTCTGTTTTCACCATTGAGTATGTTGCTAACTATGGTTTGTTCATATGCCTTTATTATGTTGAGGTATATTCCCTCTACACTTACTTTGTTGAGAGTTTTAATCATGAATGATGTACTTTGTTCTGTGCTTTTTCTGCATCTATTGACATGATCATCTGTTTTTTTATCCTTTCCCTTATTAATGGTGATGCATCATGTTGATTGATTTGTGAGTATTAAACCACCATTACATCTCAGGAATAAATCTCACTTTATCATGATGAATTATTTTTTTTAACGTGTCATTGGATTTGGTTTGCATATATTTTGTTGAGGACTTTTGTATCTATGTTCATCAGAGGTATTGGACTGTAGTTCTCTTTTTTTGTAGTATTTTTATCTGGTTAAATGGTATCTGGGTGATGCTTGCCTCGTAGAATGAATTTGGAAGCTTTCTGTCCTGTTTTTTGGAATAGTTTGAATAGAACAGTTATTAACTTTTCTTTAAAATTTTAAAAGAATTCACCAGCAAAGCCATCCAGTCCTGGATATTTGTGGAGTTTTTTGATTACTGATATAGTTTCCTAGTAATCAGTCTGTTCTAATTATCTATTCTTCAGTTTTGGAAGGTTATACATTTCTAGGAGTTTATCCATTTCTTCTAGGTTTCCCATTTTGTTGGCATATAATTTTTCGTAATAGTCTCTTACAATTCTCTGTGTTTCTATGGTGGTTGTTATTTTTCCTTCATTTTTTATTTTATTTATTTGAGTCTTCAAGCTCAGATCTTGCAGATTACAGTTATACTCTCAAATATTACCTTTCATTCCTTGAAAATAATCTAGTAGTTAGCATTGTCTAGATTATGAAGCAAATTTTGCTAATAAAGTCTTTCAGTTGTAAGAAATAGAGGTTGATGGTGCCTGAATAGTTATTTGATCACTGTTTGACTCTTATTAGTATAAACTCTTAAATACATTGTATTTGGATTTTTTTTGTAAAATAGATATTTGGTGCTTGAAAAACTGAAGAAAGAAGAAGCTGACCGAATTCATATATTCAGTTCTTTTTTCTATAAACGCCTTAATCAGAGAGAAAGAAGAAATCTTCATGAGACAACTAATTTATCGTAAGTCAAGCTCTGAGGATATTTAACAGATGTAGGAAGTCACTCAAGTTTAATAAAAAAGTACTTTCATTGAGTCAACATCTTTTAATTCTATTATCAGTTAGCAAAATTTATATAATTCATAATACTTTAAAGCTTCAAGAATACCTAGAATTCATAAAGGTATTTGGTCTGTTATCTAAATTAATATTCCCCAAATATGCCTGATAATTAAAAAAATACTTAGATATTTATTAGGTACAAATTGCTCTGTTCCATTCATATTTAAGAGAGGAACCTGTGAATCTATACTTGTAATAAATTATTTGGATAATTCTGCTCCAATGAGTTAAAGGAAACACTGTTCTACATATTAGGCCTTAATCAGTTTGTTCATAATTCCTCTCTATATAGTGATTGCATCCAACTCTAATTTGCACTGATACTTGGTCAAAAGATGTATACAAAATGCCATAAGTGGGCAGCCCCGGTGGCTCAGCGGTTTAGTGCTGCCTTCAGCCCAGGGTGTGATCCTGGAGACCTGGGATTAAGTCCCACGTCGGGCTCCCTGCATGGAGCCTGCTTCTCCCTCTGCCTGTGTCTCTGCCTCTCTGTCTCTCTCTCTCTCTCTCTCATATGAATAAATAAATAAAATCTTAAAAAAAAATACCATAAGTGCTGTCAATTGTCTTGAATTGATGGCTCTTGTGCATAATATAAATGATATTTTACACTCTTTCAGTGATTTCTAATTTTACATCTTAAGAGTTCATGAGAGTGATTGGTTTGGCCATTGTTCATAGTCTATTTTATTTCGTCTTCTATAATGCTCACTTTACCTTCTCTCTTCTCAGTCATCGTAGGTGATGATCTGATACATTTCTTAATATAGTTGCTGATATGCAGTAATAAAAATAGTAGCACTGGGTTCACTTAGTAAATAGTAGCAGGAATTAAATAATTCTGTCTTGCAGATTCAGTGATAGGTGGTTTCACACCTTCCTAACTTCATCTGAGATGTTCTGGTTTTTTTTACACTACTTGTTAAATCACCTTATACAACACTTTTGTTTGTTTACATCTTAGTCTTCATAATTTATAAATGCATATAAGCTGAAGCATTAGAAACATTTCAGAAGGTGATAGTTTATCTCTTGTCTTGTAGAATACAGCAAAAGCGACATGGAAGAGTAAAAACATGGACTCGGCATGTAGATATTTTTGAGAAGGATTTTATTTTTGTACCCCTTAATGAAGCGTGAGTAAGAATTTTCATTATGTAAATGTGAAGGCCATTTTTAGAAAATGTGTATATGAGTTGAAGGATTCATTCTTTTTTAAACTTTCTGAAATTTGTTTTATGTGTTTATGTTTATGCTGTGTATTCTATGAAAATTAATGCAATTTTTTAGTGAATCATGTAATATGTTGAATTTTCTAAAGACTAGCAAGAGATCTAATTTTGTTTATCAGTGTACAATAATGTCATTTTTAAAATGTGGTACTGTTGTCTACCAAAAAAAATGTGGTACTGTTGTCTACCAAACATCCTAAAGAGCAAGCATACTTCTTTATACAGAATAATGAGTAGGTCACGTAGTAAATTTTGAATCTTTAGAAAACACTTCGACTTGGGATGCCTGGTTGGCTCAGCAGTTAAACATCTGCCTTTGGCTCAGGGTGTGATCCCAGAGTTCCAGGATGGAGTCCCACATCGGGCTTCCTGCATGGAGCCTGCTTCTCCCTCTGCCTATGTCTCTCTGCCTCTCTCTCTCTCTCTTTCTCTCTGTCTCTCATGAATAAATAAAATCTTTTAAAAGGAAAAAGAAAACACTTTGGCTTTTAATCAAAAGAAAAGATAGCCAGATTTGTGTCATGTTCAAATTGAAAACCATGCTGCCTACTTGAAACTATTTTCTAAGTAAATGGAGGTGGTTAAATATTTTGCATTCTCCCATAGTGACTAGAGAGGCATAGGATAGAATTATTCTGCAATTTAGACTTGAGAGATTTTATATTTCATATTTCTGTTTTCCTGTGCCTTCCAGGCAAAAATTCCCAGGGATACACTTGTAGTTCGACACTTTGGGTTTATTACTTGCCTCAAGAGAGAATACACACCATGGTTGCCAAGAAAGAGAGAGAGAAAGAGAGAAAGAAAGCACATGTAACAGAATTTGGGTTTTGGTTTGGTAGTTTGGGGGAAGATGTAAGGAAACAGTTGTTTGCTTTGGTAAAGAAGTAGCATTACCCATTTAGCAAGAAAGGGAAATATTTGATATTTTTTTTGGTTGCATTGTGGCCTTGCTTTGTCTCAGTCTATCATGTTTCCAGAGTTTGTCTGAGATTGGTTTTCTATGAGATTGTTTGTATCTGATAAACCTAGCTATGCCAGGCTAGCTTCTGAATGTGCTCTTTTTTCCCCCACTGTGAAAAACATTCACTCAATACTAGAATCCAATTCTGTTTATTTAAAAATCATAACGTTAATCATAAGACCTGTGCTCTCTAATGAGCCCAGCCAAAGATAGTTAGGCTAGGTCAAAACACTAGTAATGGCTTATAAAGCCCAGCTTCTTAGGATCTATATATTTAAGTCAAAGATTTTATCATAATTAAAAACCAAGTTTAAAACTAATTCTTAATTTCTTCATTATCCTCAAAAATAAGGTTTCTTAACAGTTATTTGTCGTAAAGAATAACATGTGATCTGTCTGCGTAGATGAAAAGGAAGATATACATAGAGAGCTATTTGTTAAAAATGAATAATAAATATTTAAGATACTATTTGTCAAAAATAAATTATAAAAATTTAAGATACACACTTTAGCAATAGAGGCACATTCCTCTTAATGTATCTGGGATGGATTGAAGCTATGACGAATGCTTCCAGTTACCTTGATGAAAGAGAATGAACAAAGATGAAAAGTCAGTAAAGGATTCTACAAAAGAACTATGCCATTAGTAGATGGAAGAATAGCCTCCAGATCCTGAGGGCTCATTTTGTTTTGTTTTGTTTTTGAAGTTGTAAAGGACAGATATTTCTAGTCACTAATTATTTTGTTTTATTTTATTTATTTTTTAAAGATTTTATTTACTTATACTTGAGAGACACAGAGAGAGAGGCAGAACATAGGCAGAGAAGGAGCAGGCTTCATGCAGGAAGCCCGATGTGGGACTTGATCCCAGGACTCTGGGATCATGCCCTGAGCCAAAGGCAGATGCTCAACCACTGAGTCACCCAAGTCCCCTCTATTCACTAATTGTTTTAGATAGGCTTATGTGTTTTTGCTTTTTGTTTTATTTTTATTTTTTTCCTGATAGTGGTAGTTTCTTTAAAGTTTGTAAGCTACTTGTGAAAAATTGATAAGGAAAAAATATTTTTAGATCCAATCAATCTTAAGTGAAATTACTTGTTTTGTCGTCTTCTCCTAGGGTTGGTTTAAGGTCACTGTGTACCTGCTTTTAAAAGAATCATAAAAGCAAAGCCCTGTCTCTTACAGGTTGAAAATAACCTCAGATGTATCTGATTCATGTTTCTTCTTTCAGCTAAATAAAGAATTTTTCTTAGTTTTTAAGTGTACAACAGAAAAGTAATGGCTTATACATATTGTCAGAGCTAAGAAATACTAAAAACTGTGATAGATTTAGGTTATAGACTTTAGGTTGAGAACTACTATATTATATCACTTTAAACCAATTTTTAAAACACCATTTAACTCTTCTAACATTGAGCTGTGACTTATAGTCAGCTATGTTTTATAGTGAAGTGAGGAAGATGATGTGTTGCTCTTTCTACTACCCTGGCCGGACCTAAGTCCCTAGGATAATGAGGATTAATAACTAAGAACAGGAGAGAAGCATTCTTCCATCTGGCCTTTAAAATGCTGAAGATGAAGCCAGGCTCTGTCACCCTTGTGTTTATGCTATCTGATGAAGAGACAGTGTTTCTTCATATTACCTTGGAGGAATTCAGCATTTTGTAAAAATGAGAGTATAGAATAACACATTCATGTCAAGATATGCATTATTTCACTCCTCAAACATCTATTGGACACCTTACTGTATGGCACTGTACTCAACTAATAAGTTCTCTGACATCTGTTGCCTGTTCATTGTATCCTAGCATGTAACACTGTCTAGCAAATGGTAAGCCCTTAATAAAATTCCTCATTAGATTAATGGATATTAATCAATGTTAGCTGTACAGCTTTTTACTCATGGTTAAAACATATTATTAGAAACCGTGATACCTGAATTCAGCTATATCAAGAGCACCCACCTGATAACTGGAACTCTACTAATCCTGAAGTTTTGTAATAATGTTTAAAATAAATATGTTGTTTCATTTTAGTGTATATATACCAATATAGCATAAGACAAAGAATTATTGGGCAGCCCTGGTGGCTCAGTGGTTTAGTGCCTGCCGTCAGCCCAGGCTGTGATCCTGGGTACCCTGGATCGAGTCCCACGTCGGGCTCCCTGCGTGGAGCCTGCTTCTCCCTCTGCCTGTGTCTCTGCCTCTCTCTCTCTCTCTGTGTCTCTCATGAATAAATAAATAAAATTTAAAAAAAGACAAAGAATTATTTAATATTTTTAACATTAAGCAATGCCTAACCTTATTCTTAAGAAAAACAGACATGGTAAAAATTTTTTAAAAGCTATATATGTGCAATACTTAGAAAATGTTCAAAAGTATACAGTCTATTTAGACTTCTGAAAACATTTTAATATTGAGGCTAGTTTTCTATCCTTTGCCATAAATAGGTCAAGAGGAAGGTAAATGGGAATGGTGAATTACAGTGATCTAATTTATATTTTCCTAAATTGCTTAAAAATAGAAATGAATTTTTCATTCAAAAAGCAGTAAAGGGAGGATGGCCTGTGTGGCTCAGCGGTTGAGCATCTGCCTTTGGCTCGGCGTGATTCTGGAGTCCCTAGATCGAGTCCCGCATCGGGCTCCCTGCATGGAGCCTGCTTCTCCCTCTGCCTGTGTCTATATTGTTTTTATTTTTATTTTTTTCTATATTGTTTTTAAATAGACATTGTATTCTATTAATGATCTTATAAACTAGTGGATTCATTTGAGAATTGAAATAAATTTGTTGACAAAAGCTTTAGAAAAATATTTCAGTTGACATTTTTTGCCTAATAAACTCTTCTAATAATATATTCAATAGTTTCATTTGTTTTTTACAGTGCACACTGGTTTTTGGCTGTGGTTTGCTTCCCTGGTTTGGAAAAACCAAAATATGAACCTAATCCTCATTATCATGAAAATACAGTCACGCAAAAATGTTCCAGTGTAGAGGACAGTTGTATTTCTTCTCCTTCAGCCAGTGAAATGGACAGTTGTTCGCAAAACTCTTCTGCCAAGCCTGTAATTAAGAAGATGCTGAACAGAAAACATTGTGTAGCTGGAATTGATTCAAGTGCTGAACAGGAAGAAAGTGACCCTCATTATCGGAGAAACACGGGCAGTGTGAAATGTAGTCTAAAAAAAGTAAATCAGACGGCAAGTGAAAATGAAGAATCGAATAAAGGAGAATCTACATGCCAGAAAGTTGTTGATAGGACTAAAAGTGAAAATGGCCTACAGAATGAATATTTAAATTCTATGCATCATACAGGTATGTTTCTAAATGTTTCAAAAGAATCAAGGAATTCAGAATAATTTGGATTGTTTATACATAAGATTAAGGTTTTAGGGCATACTTTTTTTTTTAAAGTCAGGTTTAGTAAGATACGATTTATTTATTAGCAACATTCACCCATTTTCTAAGTATAGCTCAGTGAGCTTTGATAAATATGTGTAGTCTTGTAATTGCTACAGTACAGTAATCACGATTTAGAACTTTGCTATCACTCCAAAAACTTTCCCTTGTGCCTTTTTACAACCCAAAGTTTTTAAAATTGTAGTACAAGGCCTACATTTTTCATTTATAGCAACTTGGATTTATTCTTATTTCATAGGCAGTTTACTAATATGTGGCACAAACAGTAGTTGGACAGTCTTAGATCTTTAAGGCAAATTATTTCATTCTTCTCAATTTACAGGTAAGCAGATAGAGATCAAATAGCAAGGGTCAGAATTTAAAACCTTTTCCTCCAAAATAGTTGTTCACATTTAAATGAAGTTAGTTTTTTATTCCTTACTCCCTTTCATGTTTTAATAGGAAGAAGGGCACTGGTCCAATCTTTGTTTTTTTTATTTCCATTCAGGTGTAATGAATTGAATTTTTCCCCTTGAATCAGTTCCATATTCCTAGGACTTTGTTAGATCTAAAGTTTCTCTTTCCATACTTAAATTTCATATCAAATCAATTGTGTAATTTCTGTCCATCTCAAAAGAAAAACAATCTACTTCGTAAAATCCATAACATGCTATGACATATACTTTGTTTATTAAACTATGAATAAATCTAATAAATTTTCTTTGGAAGAAAAAAGTTAAAATAAGGCATAGAAGAAATTAATGTGAATTCAGAAAGAACCTATCAAAAATTAAGAATGCTGGGACACCTGGATGACTCGGTTAAGCATTCAACTCTTGGTTTTGGCTGGGTCGTGGTCTTGTGGTTGTGGGATCGAGCCCCACGTCAGGCTCTATGCTCAGTGCAGAATCTGCCTCAGATTCCTTCTCCTCCCTCTGTGCTCCCCCCCCCCCCGCCCCCTAAATAAAATTTTAAAATTAAGAATGCAGAATATAGTCTTGGTACTTTTACCACCTTATTTTAGTAACTTAAGCTGTTGTTGAGTTTTATAAAAATATTTTTTATTTGTTTGACATACTAGCTGCATAAATCTGATGCTAGCTCTATGCTGTTGATCTTTGTGCCCTTTGGAAGGTATAAGATAACCAGCAGAAGGGGGAAATTTAGCAGTTACAGCAAAAAGTACATCAAAAGCCAAACACATAAATACTTGCTTTTCTGACTCCCTTTTCGACTCCCTTTTCAGTCTTTCATTAGGCAAGAAATGGAATGAAGATAGACAAAGTGGGTAATCACCAACTGCTGCCTCTATTATTTTTCAGTTTTAGTATTTTAATACTTGAGTAGAAAAAAAATGAGAGGCAGTGTACAGTCATACTAAAGATTAACTGCCATTTGGACACTCTGAAGAGTAAGCCTTCAAGGCAGTGTGCATTGTTTCTCATTTCCTTGAAAACCGTTTTGTCAGCACATGAAAAGATGATGGACATCATTAGACATAAGGGAAATGCAAACCAAAACCACAATGAGATACTCCTCCATATCACACTAGTATGGCTACAGTCAAAAAGTCAGATACTAACATTTATTGGTGGGAATGTGAATAAACCACCCTTGTTAGTGGGAATGTAAAATGGTGCAGCTGCTTTCTTTGGAAGACCATTTGATAATTCCTCAAAAAATTAAATGTAGATTAATAATAATACCCAGCAATTTCACTCCTACATATATATCCAAGAGAAATAAAAGCACAGTGGGGATGAATGTTCATTGTAACATTGTAGTAGCAAAAATGTAGAAGCAACCCAGATGTTCAATGGACAGATGGATAATCAGTTAGTAATATATCTAGCTCATAGAAATAAATGAAATACTGATACATGCTACAACATTGATGAGTCTTGAAAATATTGTGAAAGTCACAAAAGACCATATATTCTATGATTCCATTTGTGTGAAATCTCCCAAACAGGAAAATCTATAGAGTAGTTTAGTAGCTACTTGGGGCTGGTGTGGTGTGGCAGATAGGAATATGAGGAAGGGGGAAATGATAATTGAAAGGTACAGGGTTTTTTAATGAGGTTTTAAAACTTATTCTGATGAGGGGCACCTGAGTGGCGCAGTCGGGTAAGCATCTGACTCTTGGTTTTGGCCCAGGATATGGTCTCAGGGTAGTGAGATTGAGCCCTCTGTTGTGCTCCATGCTCAACTGAGTCTATTAAAGACTGTCTCTCCCTCTCTCTTTGCCCCTCCCCCTACTTGCATGTTCCCCCCCCCCCCAAATTAATACTTGTAAAATAATAAAATTTACTCTGATGGTAGCTGCACATATGTGCAAATACATAAAAACAACTGAATTGTACATTTTAAATGAGTAAATTGTATGATGTGGGTTATATTTCCATGGAACTATTTTCTTTAAAGTTCCTCTTTGATCACTAACCTCATACACTATAATGTGAATTCAAATTAAAAATGAATTAAAGTTCATGACTTAAAGCAATAGGACAAAGCCTACGGCTTCATACACACAAACCCCAGAAACTCCTAGTGGCCCTCTCCTTCAAATTAATGTTCCAGTTAAATTTAAGCAAATATCCTCACAAATCCTAGAAGAGATCAAAGTAAAGAATCCTCTGTTTACGAAGTTTGCCTTTTTAGTATCTGTTTATCCTTTTTTTTAAACTATAGTTTGTGTATTTTTTGTTTTGTTTTTAGTATGCATGCAACCATATCAACAATATCTTCCATAAGGGGAGTTGATTTCCTTTTATTGGGTGTGATACACTGATACTTTGTATTCTTTTTGATGCTTGCCTTAATCCAATGATGATAGTGTCCCACAGTTTGAAAAACAGTGCTCTAGAGCAAGTCTGCATTTTTGTGCTTTCATCAGATGCTTCCAAGGGATCACTCACCCAAAAGGACATTAAATAAGAGTCCTCTCTAGAGGTGCTTTTACTATGTTAGAGAGGTTGGTTAAGTAGTCTGTCCTATATAAAATAATAGCATATTAAAAATTCGGATAAGAAGAGCTTATAAAATTTCCGTGATTATGATTACTATCTCAGTAATTGATTTCTGGGATCCCTGGGTGGCGCAGCGGTTTGGCGCCTGCCTTTGGCCCAGGGCGCAATCCTGGAGACCCGGGATCGAGTCCCATGTCGGGCTCCCGGTGCATGGAGCCTGCTTCTCCCTCTGCCTGTGTCTCTGCCTCTCTCTCTCTCTCTGTGTGACTATCATAAATAAATAAAAATTTAAAAAAAAATTAAAAAAAAAGCAAAAAAAAATGATTGATTTCTGTTTTGCCTAGGAATATAATTGACAGAATTTAAACAAAGCATTTTGTTTTATTTTTTATTTATATTTATTTACATGTTTATATGTTTTTTAGTAATCTCTACACCCAACATGGGGTCTGAATTTACAACCCCAAGCTTAAGAATTGCACGCCCCACCGACTCAGCCAGGCACCCTTAAACAGGGCATTTTAGATAGTTTTAATATCGTTTTAACTATTAAATATATAGAATTACAAGTTTTGACTCCTGATGTCAGAAGTGGGAATTGTGTCTTTTCATAGGGATTATGCTAAGGGCAATTGTAGGAAAATAATGTTTGGTATCAGTACTTTAATTTGCTAGTTTTTCATTTGGGCACCATATGAAATGTTGTCTTGCTATGGCACATGAAAAATGTATGTTTTGGGGATCCCTGGGTGGCGCAGCGGTTTGGCGCCTGCCTTTGGCCCAGGGCACGATCTTGGAGACCCGGGATCGAGTCCCACGTCGGGCTCCCGGTGCATGGAGCCTACTTCTCCCTCTGCCTGTGTCTCTGCCTCTCTCTCTCTCTCTCTGTGTGTGACTATCATAAATAAATAAAAATAAAAAAAAAAAAAGATTTAAGAAGTGGTTTAAAAGAAAAAGAAAAAGAAAAATGTATGTTTTAAACTCTGGAATCACACTTGGAATCCTCAGAGGATCTAACTATATGAGAAATTCTCAGGAACTGTGACTGATTAAAAAAAGCAGTTGCGTTATCACCTCTCAGTGTACATCAGGACATTTGTTTACTGCATGAAAGAATTGACTGTTCTATTTAAATTATTTTTCTCCCTTTTTTGAAATGCACATATATTTTATTTGTGTAAGGTTTATATTTATATTATACAACTTCAATAGATATGAATAATTGGCTGCTAGATTAACTTGATTATAATTGATTTGGAATTGCCTGATGATTTGGACAAGTTTTATTCAAATATAGGTATTTTAGTTTCAAACAAACATAAAAATAGATTTTTGAAAAAAAATTGAAGAGATTATTATTTTTCATGTAACAAACATATTTACCAAAGTGTTTATTATTTAAATAGTATGTTTCCAATGAACATTTAGAGAGAGAGAGAGATTTCTTTTTAGGAGCATGTTTTATTTTGCTGTCTTACCACTCCATCTTGCCTCTATTAGTATTTTAATTCCCCTTTAATAACTTATAGAAAAATAAATTTCATCTTGTCTAAAATCCCTTAATGTCATACTTCTTAAAGTAGAAAAGATATACTCTTTAATAGGCAGATTACTAAATTTGGTATTAAAGTCCCTCACTTTTCATTATTTTCATATAAATCTTACATTCCTTTGAAACATCACGTGTAATTAGGGTCTTTCAGCAAAATATTTTATATATATGGATTTAGATTCTTGAAACTGACCTTTAAAAGTATCCATTTCAAAAATAAAAATAAATAAAATCCATTTCAAACTTTTCTTCTGAGTCATTTCATATTACTAGCATCTAAATTTGGTTTGGCTGGTTTTATTTATTGAAAAGTCAATGAACATAACGAAACATGAAGGAAATATATACAGGGGTGCCTTGGTGGCTCAGTAAAGTGTCCAACTCTTGATTTTGGCTTGAGTCACGGTCTCAGAGTCATAAGATCAGGTCCAGCATTGGAGCCTGCTTAAGATTCTCTCTGTCCCTCCACTCCTCGCTTGTATGTTCTTGCCCTCCATCTTCCAAAATAAAGATAAAAATAAATTTTAAAAAAGAGGGAAAAATGTACAGAGTTGGGGAACTCATCCAGAGCTATTATCCTAATGTCATGAGTATTTTAATTTTTGTATTTTACTCTCTATTAGTTGTCCAAAAACAAATCTGTTTAAACCTTAATCATGGGGATCCCTGGGTGGCTCAGCGGTTTAGTGCCTGCCTTTTGGCCCAGGGCGCAACCTGGAGTCCTGGGATCAAGTCCCACGTTGGGCTCCCAGCATGGAGCCTGCTTCTCCCTCTGCCTTTGTCTCTGCCTCTCTCTCTCTCTCTCTCTTTGTCTATCATGAATAAATAAATAAAATCTTTAAAATAAAAACCTTAATCATAATTTTTAGTCTCTATTAAATAATTTTTCATAATTTTATACTTTTAATTTTAAAACTGTGATATTTTATGTTCTACAATTAGCTAACCATTCCTGTTATTGGACATTAGGTTATTTTTAGACTGTTGTAGTCTCTGTTACTAAATCTATCTAGCATACCTAGCACAAAAATGTTTTAATGCATATACTTAATAATGTATATATAGACATTATATTTAATGTTTTATATATACATATATTTATGATATAATTGATACCTAGGTTAAATTTTAATGAATTTTAGGGTCCGAGTTGTAGAAGCAACTTTGTAATTGATGTGTCAATCCAGGTTTTTATTAAAAATAAGTTACATTTGTGGAATTACATGTTAAAGCAGCATTTTATCTGTAATTACTATATTATTACCATTAATTTTAACATACTATAAGTTATGTCCATGTCCTTTTAAAAATTTTATACTGTTTCTTATTGATATAGATGGCTTAAGCAAAATTAGGCTAAACTATAGTGATGAATCAACTGAAGGTAGCAAAATGCTTGAAGATGAACTCATCGACTTCTCAGAAGATCAGGATAACCAGGTAAAGCCAAATGCTAGGCAGAAAGCTCCAATATTCTATCTAATTAAGTTTTTCTTTGGAGTTCTATAAGAAATTCCTTAACCAGTAACTCATGCCTTCTGAATTTGAGTCTCATTTCAAAGCACAAACTAAGTTTTTAATTCAAAAGTTGCCAGGATAAACGTATAGTGTGATTTTATTTTTCTTTTAGGGTTTTTGTTGTAGTTTTTGCTATTGCAGACTAAACTATTACCTACTTGAGAAAAGTTTTAATATAAAATTGATTCTCCTACCTGAACCCAGCCACCACTCCCACTAGCCCTACCATCCCTTTCTCCTCCTCTTTTTTTTTTTTTTTTCTCCTCCTCTTTTAAAGCATTTCTGGGTCATACTTAATCTTTGGTCTAACTTAGGAGGCAAATGTAGATACTTGGTTATGTTGTACTTGAGCACAGGAAAATTATTTTTTCCACGCTTTCAGTGATTCTTTTCCTTTCTTCTATTTTAATGTATATTAACCATGGCAGAAGCATACAATATTTAGTTAGAACTAACATAGATAAATTCTCATTTCCTTAGAGTTTCATTTGCTCTGATAAATTTTATTTACACCAAGAATTAAATAGATTTTTGAAAATATTTTATGACTTCAGTTAAAGGGGGTTTCATATTGAAAGAGAAGTTTTAAGAATCATACAGCATTCCATTTCTTTAATCTCTGACCTTTCTTTAGTTGTTAGGAAAAACTTTAGTATTGAAGATAGCTTTGTATTGCACTATTTTTCCTTTTTGCACAATCCTCCTGTGGAAAAAAGCCATTTTTTGTAATATCCCTTCCTCAACAATGTATGTCTAAGAAATACTGTTTTTCTCTGCAACTTATACCCGCATATATATGGATTACATTCAAGGTTTATAATGAGTGCTATTCTTATGCTCCTTTGATTAATGGTTATGTGTAATGGTTATGTGAACAAGCTAATCTGTGTTATTATTATTTCTATTGTTGATTATCTTATAAGGTTGCCAGAGCGTTCTAAAGAATAGGAAAAGCCTTGTTTTACATTCAAGATAATCTAAAATAAGACAGAGTGTCATTAAATTGTCTTCTCTTGGGACGCCTCAAGAGAACTGCTTGGTGGCTCAGCGGTTGAATGTCTACCTTTGGCTCAGGGCATGATCCTGGATTCCCCGGATCGAGTCCCGCATCAGGCTTCTTGCATGGAGCCTGCTTCTCCTCCACCTGCCTGTGTCTCTGCCTCTCTTACTGTGTCTCTCATGAATAAATAGATTAAAAAATCTTTAATAAAAAAAAAAAGTTGTCTTAAGTGAAGTGCATATATGATTCTGTCAAGGAGGTTTTCTGAAAACCCTTTATTTCTAATTTGAAAAAATTATTTATGTCAAAGAATAATATGTCATTTATGTTCCTAACGAAAACAGCTGTCTTAACCAAAAAACTAAATTTTTATAGAAATACCTAAATCAGAGCAGTAATATTGAAGAATGAATCATAATATATTCAGTCTTTAAATTTTTCTTTTACATTGAAAATAGATGTAACAATATTTCATAGACTTCTGATCAGTGATTTCATTAAAATGTCAGTGCTGTGGCATTAGATAATTAGCATCAAGTGACCACATTTTCTCATGTCTGATGACTATTAAATAGAAAAGATTTACATGTTTGTTACAAAGATCTTTTTTATCATTGGTAGTGCTATTATGTGAGGTTATGAATTATTTATATTGTATATTTTCACTACTAACAGGCTATCTTTTATAGGATGATAGCAGTGATGATGGATTCCTTGCCGACGACAACTGCAATTCAGAAATAGGACAGTGGCATTTAAAGCCTACTATCTGTAAACAGTAAGCATTAATTTTATATCTTGCAAACTGCATAAATAAATTTTAAAATTTTATTTACATATCCTCATAGAATAAAACATAACTGGATAGTTTTTATTTAAACAAGCCCTTAAAAGTTACGAAGACTGTCAGGGTGAATGAGGAGAATTGCCTAGTGTCCAGGGCTCCAGTTGGGGAGAATGGGTAATCATTTCTCCGTTTGAGTGTGAAGTGGAATCTTGCAAAAAAATACTGGATTCTAAACTATTTTTTTTCTCCTCTCCCCTCCCCTCCCCTCCCCTCCCCTCCCCTCCCCTCCCGTCCCCTCCCCTCCCCTCCCCTCCCCTTCCCTTCTTTCCCTCCCCCTCCCCCCCTCCCCTCCCCTCCTCTCGTCTTGTCTTTTCCTTTCTTTTTTAAAATAATCTCTACACTCAATGTGGGGCTTGAACTCACAGCCCCAACCGAGATCAATAGTTGTATCCTCCACTGACTGAGCCAGCCATGTGACCCTAAACTAATTCTTCTATATGATGATGACCTGTTTTGTTATCTATAATAGGTTTTAGTTAAAAATGGGGATTATTGGGCAACCAAGGTGGCTCAGCGGTTTAGTGCCGCCTTCAGCCCAGGGCCTGATCCTGGAGACCTGGGATCGAGTTCCACGTCAGGCTCCCTGCATGGAGCCTGCTTCTCCCTCTGCCTGTGTCTCTGCCTCTCTTTCTTTCTCTGTGTGTCTCTCACAAATAAATAAACATTTTTTTTAAATGGGGATTATTTTAGGGTGTCTATCTGGCTCATTGGAAGAGTGTGTGACTCTTGATATTGGGGCTGTGGATTTGAGCCCCACATTGGGTGTAGAGATTACTTAAAAAAAAAAGAAACAAACTTAAAAATGGAATTTGGAGGGGGGATCCCTGGGTGGCTCAGTGGGTTAAATGTCTGCCTTCGGCCCAGGTCTTGATCCTGCGGTCCTGGGATCAAGCCCCGTGTTGGGCTGTCAGGAGCCGCCTTCTCCCTCTCCACCCTGCTCATTCTCTCTCTCTCTCTCTCTCTCTCTCTCTCTCTCTCTCTCTCTCTCTCAAATAAATAAATAAATAAATAAATAAAGATTTTTTTATTTATATATTTAAAAGATTTATTTATTCATGAGAGACACACACACAGAGAGAGAGGCAGAGACATAGGCAGAGGGAGAAGCAGGCTCCATGAAGGGAGCCTGATGTGGGACTCGATCCCAGATCTTGGGACCGTGCCCTGAGCTGAAGGCAGACGCTCAACTACTGAGCCACCCAGGTGTTCCTAAATAAAATCTTTTTAAAAAAAGTGGAATTGGGGGGCCTGGGTAGCTCAGTTGGTTAAGCCCCTGCCTTCAGCTCAGGTCATGATCCTGGAGTCCCAGGATATAGCCCCACATCAGGCTCCCTGCTCAGCGGGGAGTCTACTTCTCCTTCTTCCTCTTGCCCTCCCCCCACCACCACCTTGCTCATGCCCTCTCTCTCTCAAATAACTAAAATCTTTTTTTTTTTTTAATGTAATTATTTCTACTTTGTATGGTCCCACTCTTGGTAATTTGGCATTTGGAGATATTCAAATTTTCAGAGTTATTTTTACTAAATTTTGTTTTCTTTTAAGGAACCAAGAGTAGAACTTTAGTGACATGTTCATAATAAGATATGGTTCAATTAATATTCTATAACTTGGTATTTAATATAACCATGGATATTTAGGTATTGTTAGGGTATATGTATCTATAAGATTTTTTTCCCCTAAGTTTTACTGAGGCAAGGGAATTTTAAATATTTTAAATTCTATTGTTGGTGTTCATCTTTTTATGCCTTTTTAACATAAAGTATTGGGGCACCTTGGTGGCTCAGTCGTCTGCCTCCAGCTCAGGTCATGATCCCAGGGTCCTGGGGTTGAGCCCCACATTAGACTCCCCACTCAGCAGGGAGTCAGCTTCTCCCTTTCCTTCTGACCATCCCCCTCCCTGCTCATGCTTGCTCGCTCTCTCTCAAATGAATGAGTAAAAAATCTTTTTTTAAAAAACCATTTTAAAGTATTAACATTTGTTCATTTCACCCCACAGACCTTGTATCCTACTGATGGATTCACTTAGAGGCCCTTCTCGATCAAATGTTGTAAAAATTCTAAGAGAGTAAGTTCAAAACCATAATTTGTACTTTGTATTCTGGTGGGAATGAGGGACTGTGTACATTTATATATGTATATTCTTACTATTTGTGCATTATTGCAGGTATTTAGAAGTGGAATGGGAAGTTAAAAAAGGAAGCAAAAGAAGTTTTTCCAAAGATGTTATGAAAGGCTCTAATCCAAAAGTACCCCAGCAAAACAACTTCAGTGATTGTGGTGTATATGTATTACAGTATGTAGAGAGCTTTTTTGAGGTGGGTTTCAGTATGTTGGATCTGATATAATAAATAATAAAATAGTGTATAGTGAACCCTTAAACAACATGGGTTTGTACTGAGTCTACTTCTATGCAGATTTTTTTTTTTTTAAATAAATACAGCACAGTACTCTAAATGTATTTTTCTCTTCCTTGGGATTTTAATATTCTTTTCTCTAGCTTACTTTACGTAAGAATACAATAATATAGTACATATAACATAAAAATATATGTTAATTGACTGCTTATGTTATTGATAAGGCTTCTAGTCATCAGTAGCCCATTAGTAGGTAAGGTTTTCAGGAGTCAAAATTCTATGTGGATTTTAGACTACACAGGGTCAGAACCCCAAATCCCCATGTTGTTCATGGGTCAACTGTATTTGACCTTATATTAATGCAAAAAACACAATAAGGAAATATTTTAAAGAGTCTGAAAACTATCATTTCAAAAATTTTTCCAGGGAGCAAAATATCCAAAATTGGAGAATTTTTAAAGCATAAAAAACTACTTATACTTTATCAAATCCAAGGCTTGTTGACTTCATTCCTCATCACTCTAATCAACTCCTTTGCCACTAAATCTTCCCATCTTAAGAAATCTCTCCCATAATTTAGACTTTTATCCTCTTTTATGGAGAAGTATTCACTGTCTTCATTTCCACAAGTCCCACTTGTTTCTCAAATCTCTGTAGTCTGGCTTTACTTTCACCCTTATTAAAATTGTTCCTCACCTCCCAGCATCATTTGACACTGTTGACCATTCCTTCTTCATAATGCTCTCTTCCTTTGACTTCAGAAGTATAATATACCTCTCTTGGATATTCTTTATAATTATCTTGACTCCTGGGGCACCTGGGTGGCTCAGTTGGTTAAACATCTGCCTTCAGCTCAGGTCATAATCCTGGGATCCTGGCATCAATGAAGCCCTGCATCAGGCTCCCTGCTCAGTAGGGAGTCAATTTCTCCCTCTCTCTCTGCCCCTCCCCGCTGCTATGCTTGTGCTCGCATGCACTCTCTCTTTCAAATAAAATCTTTAAATAAAAAAAGATAACTCCTGTCTTTAAAAAAAAAATATCTTGATTCTTTCCTCTTCCTCATCCATCACCAGTATAGCATTCAGTCCTGTGAATTCTGTCACTTACTTAATGTCATATATGTGCAATTCTTTATTCCTGCTGCTGCTTTCTAAGTCCAGTACACTGGCATCACCATTCTGAACTGCTGCACCAGTCTCTAAACCTGTTGCCTTTTAATTTTCACAGTTTTCTAGAAACTTTGATCTAATTATTTTACCCCTGTTGCTCTTGGGTTAAAGATGAAAATCCTTCACATGGCCCGTGTGACCCTATTTCTGCCCAAGCTTCTAAGCCTCGTTTCCTATTGTTCTTACTCTAGGTTTCTGTGTATCAGCCACCTGAATGTCATTCAGTTTCTTGTATTGTGGCATGTTCTTTCTTGCCTCTAGGCCTTGATACCTATGTTCCTACCTAGGATAGTCTTCCCAATTGCTGCTTTAATTCCTTATTGGACTAACTCCTACTCATTCTTCAGGTCTCAGTTTAAATATCACTTCTTGGGATTGCATTAATCCCCCACACATGTTTTCTCATAGGACTTTCTGTTTTTGTTTTTACTGCCATAATACTTGTTGTTTCCATTGTTTTAATTGTTACCTGTCTATCTAGACTAGGTTCTGCAAACCATTTGTAAAAAGGCCAACTAGTAAATATTTTAGGCTCTGTGGCCATACAATTTCTGTCTACTCTGTGTTCAGCTACTGCGACATGAGAGCATCTACAGAAAACATGTAAATGAATTATTGTGGCTGTGTTTCAGTAAGTCTTTATTTACAAAAATAGGTAGCTGGCTGAATGAGGCCCACTAGCTGTAGTTTGCTGACCCCTGATCTAAACTATAAGATCTGTGGGCAAAAACTGTCTCATTCTTTCCAGTGCCTAGCATAATATCTAGCATGAGATAGATAATAAGTACTTAATAAATGAGTTATTGATTTTCCATTTGTAAGTCTAGAATGCTTTTGTGATTGAAACTAAAATTTATTATAATTTTCTAATGTGCACTTAATATTCTTATTTCCAGAATCCAATTCTCAATTTTGAACTACCTATGAATTTGGCAAACTGGTTTCCTCCCCCAAGAATGAGAACAAAGAGAGAAGAAATCCGAAATATAATTCTGAAGCTTCAGGAAGATCAGAGCAAAGAGAAAAAAAAGCATAAGGACGCTCATTCAACAGAAACATCTTTAGGTGAAGGAACAGAACAATGTGTCAATAGCGTCTCAGATTGACCCATTTCTGATGCTTGTCAGTATTGCCTTCAGAAACTGAGTGACTTTCAACTTTGGGTATAGACAGTAAAGAACTGAAGTGCTCACTACTCAGAGTGATCTGGAAATGTTAATGCTTGTATAAATGTCATATAATTAATTTCCAATGGAGTATGTATTAAGTAAAAGTTTGTAAATATGTTAATGAGGCCAATTTTTCCAGCATTTATAATTATTTTTTTCACTTGTTAGGAGCTTTTGTTATGTATTTTCTGTTAATAGTACTTAAAACTGCAACTTCTAAACACAAAATAAATAAAAAGAAAATATTTATAGGAGGAAATGATTAATTTGATATTCTTTAGTGAACTTGTATTGAATTCCTTAGTGGGTGTGACATTTCATGGGAATATTCAAGTACCTATGATAATCTTTTGACCTGCTTTTGTTCTAAAATAACTTGAAATACGAAAATATGATTAAGTATAAGGCATTTTGAACAAGAAAGACATCTTCATATGCTTGTATAGTGGGAAAAAATAGCTTTTAAATTCGTATATTCCCTTGTATCCAGAGAACTCCAAAAGTGTAATAATATTTATAATTTTACACAAATATTTAAGAAGAAGCAGTATTAAGAGAAATTCAAAGAAAAATAACCTTGAATTATACTACTAAATAGTAATTATACTTTATCATACCTTATTGTCAAGTACATTTCTGAAGACGTCAAAGACTCAGGTTAAAACTATTTTGGTAAGTGCAGCTTAAATTTCAAATATCCCATGTTACCTTTCTATATTATAGCCTAAAGTATGCTATAATCTGTGTGATATAGTTAATTAATAAACATTTTTAATCTGTGTGAACACAGGAATTTAAATAGGAATTTACTATTTTTTGTAATGGCTTTTGCTATTTTTTCATTGCTCATTTTGTTCTTGTTATTTTGATAAACAAAGTATCAGACTTCTGTGCTTGAGTTTTTTAGTGTAAATTATTTTTACATGTAAAAGTACTGTCTTTAAATCAGTTGCATAATACAGAAAAAAAGTCTACCGTGAATTCCCCTTTAAAAATACTAAAATGTGATGGTTTTGATGACACATTTACAACTCCTGTAGGGATTGTGCATATATATACTGAAACTATTATTTTCAAATGAAATGTTACACATTTTTTTCAAATTAACTTTGAGACTTAAAAAATATATTTTAAAAGGCATTTTTTGTTAAGTAATTTTAAAATGCACGTATAACAAAAGTGGGAATAAAATGAAGGCCATTTTTATCAGCAATTTTTTTTTTTTAATCTAGCTAAATCTGGCAATTGTGACCAACATTTCAGGCTATTTTCTTGAATTTAGTAAGATCCATGGGTGTGTTTGGGGTGGATGGGGGTGTTGTTAACAATAACCAAAAAAGAAATCTATTGAGACACATTAGGGGAAATATTAAAATGTAAGCTTAAGGAAGGTCACTGTTAGTGGTATCAATTACAGATTTGTTACTTTGAATATTTTAACATTTTCCATTTCAGATTACATTATTTCTTTTTCGGGAATACCCTAGAGCTATTAGCTTAGGTATGATATGAAAAAGTAAAATTAAGAGTTTGGGGTGCCTGGGTGGCTCAGCTGGTTGAGCATCTGACTTTTGTTCTCAGCTCAGGTCTCCATCTCAGGGTCAGAATTTTAGCTCTGCATTGGGCTCCACCCTGGGCAAGAAGCCAGCCTACTTTAAAAAAAAAGAGTTTAATTACTAACTGAACATGGACCAGAAAATGAAAATCATTTTAAAAATCTGATAGCAGTAAGCAAAATTGGCATATTTAATTTTTTAGTGTACTGTGTTTTTTAGTGTTTTGTCAGAATTTAAAAGTACTGAAAAAAACTAAAGTGTTTGTTTTAATTTCTCATGGTTACGTTTGCACTCTTATTTTTGATATGATGAAACTATAACTTCTTTGTTGGGCCAACCCAAGTCAATCACATTTTGACATGAAAAATATAGATTGATGTCTATCAACTTTGTAGAGGTAGAGTATCCAGCTATTTAATTATATTTCTCCCACTCCATGCAGAATTCTATTTTTGAAATTGATGCTCATGACATTGTTATATGTACAATCTTTAGAGACTGCCAGGTTGAGCTCCAAATCTAGATTTAGGAATCTTTTATGTACATGCACATTCTCTTGATAATTGTGTACTTTGGTCTTTCTATATATAGTTTACAGTGGATATCAACCTTTTAAAATGTGTTATTAGTACTTAGAAGTTGTGAAACAAATTTTATAGTTTAGAGGTTTGTTACTAGACACTGAAACTGCATGATGAGTATCTGGTGTCTTAACTAATTAAAGAGGTCTGTTGTATTTGTTTTCTTGTTGGATAGAATAACAGTTAATCATTTTTAGAAGAGTTTTAGATTACTTGCCATAAAATTTGTATGTGTTTTAGCCCTTGGTAGTTTAGGAGCAAAGGTGGCATTTAACTAGTCCTTTCCTTTTGATGTTGCCAAGACAGCTAAAAACTTAATGGTATTATTTCAAGTTCCAATAAACCTAAATCAGTTAAGCATAGTAATCTGTGCTTAAAGTATTAATTAGTAGGAGGTTTTATTTGAAAGGATAAAATAATTATCTAAATTATTTCTTAATTCACCAAAATAAATTCAGTATTTTTTTTCTTTAAAAAGCTATCTATGATCTCTAAAGACTATAAGATATAATATAAAAATAATAAGTTTCAGTTTCCTAGAAATCAAAAATTGAACTTAAAGTCTCAATTCACTGAACAAGAATAATAAATATATTTTAATATACACGATTTAAGGTTGGTGGAGTAATGCTACTGGAATATAGGGGCACCTGGCTGGCTCAGTCAGTAGGATGTGTGAGTCTTGATTGCAGTGTCATGAATTCTAGCCCTATGTTGGGGGTAGAGATTACAAAAACTACTGGAATATAATGATAGAAGAATAAGTTAGAAGTAACAGAACCCTTAGAGATGAGGTAACATAGTGCTTGTGTGTCTAGAAGAGATACACTGTAGATCACTTTAAGACTAAAGGAAAAAAAAAATAAAAAAAAAGAACTAAAGGAGAGGAAGGAGATTATTCTGGGGGCTTTACTACAGACTGTCTAGCCAAGTGAATATAAATGGATAGTTTGCCAGTAAGACAACTGAATTCACAGAGGTAGACCAGACTGTATAGGGACATGTAATCTAAGGAATGTTTAGAAATGCTCCAGCAGGACTTTTAGTACACTTGTTGGTTTTTCTACTCCAGGATGAAGAAAAAAGGGTTATGAAAACTGCTCTACAAAACTTCACTTTAACCACAGAGGAAGTATTAGTTAATCGAATGGAACAAATGTGTACCTTGGGGAGAAATAGTCCTACCATTTTAATTCTGATAAACCAGATCAAGGAATAATGGTAGAGTACCCTAAACTACTATTAAGGAAATAGAGTGTAATGTACTCAGAGGAGGATTGCATAGTCCCATGGCCTGAAACAGAAAATTTAGAAGTTTAGAGGTCTTACTGTATTCATTACAAGTAACAGTTCAACTATCCATATTGCAAATATTACAGTGAGGAACATATTACCCAAAACAAAGATTTTTATTTAGAAATGTGAGAACTTTATGTAATGTACCTTAAACCCCAGTAGTGCCATATATTTTCAGATAATTCCTTGAATAATTCTAGTATGCAAACCACTGATTTAAAAGGATTTTTTTACAATATATATTCCTGACAGCTTTCAAATTGCTGGCCCTAAAGGTAATAAGGGTTGTCTGCATTTTCTGCTCTCAAATGCTTTCAGATACCACTTTAACCCCTCTCTGCCAATTCTCATTAAGAACTTGATTCAGTGAGGTTGTTAAATTCCTGTTACTAAATCTTGAAGAATTATAAAGGAAATTACTAAGTTACTCAAAGTCTAGAGACTTTCAGATACCTCATTTTTTCAAAAGAAAGTAAGTAGATTCTGCAAATTTTAAGATAAAACACATCAACTCTTAAGATTCTAAAATGAATTTACTAAGTGGCTGGCTTGTGAACTGTTAATGGTCACGAGGAGTTATGGGACTGCTATAATAAAGGTTCTATTTTTTTATTTTTAAGATTTTATTTATTCATGAGAGACACAGAGATAGAGAAGCAGGCTTCATGCAGGGAGCTTGATCTGGGATTCCAGGATCACACCCTGGGCCAAAGGCAGACACTCAACCACTGAACCACCCAGACTTCCCCAAGGTTCTATATTTTTAATAGGATTCTGGATTAGTTAACTAGTTCAGCCAGACTAGCAATTCTCAGAATTGTGCTTGATAACTCTGGTTTTGAGGCATAGTTCTAAGTTACATCATCAAATAAGTTTGGAAAGCAGTTGAACACATTTCCTGGAGCTTTTAATATGCTAATCTGCAAAATGATTACACAAAAGAGGAAAATCCAGAACACAGCATGCTAGATAATAGAATTTGGCCATGTCTTTTCTCTCCTGGACTGGTTCTCCAAACTTATTTATAAGTACTACCCACCAAAGACAGAGTTTAATTATTTGAGGTTTCTGTGAACTGAACTTTAAGACAAGGTGCTTTTGAAACTTAGGTTAGTTTTTTATATTTTACTGATAATTGGATATATGATCTGGAAACTTGAAAATAGGTGACTAGTGTCTTGGGAAAATGAAGTTTCATAAGAAGCATTTTTCTATCATTGTAATGAAAAAAATACAAATTTAGTTCTTGTATACACATTTTATTAGGAAAACAGATTTTGATGATCTTTTGTAAGATCATCAAGTCCCCTAAACTCACAGGTAAAAATTGTGTAAAAATATGAAAGTGAAGGGGGGGTGGAAGAGCATGTGACTCTTAATCTCAAGGTTGTGAGTTTGAGTTCCCCATTGGGTGTAGAGAATACTTAAATAAACTTAAAAAAATAGAAAAGTAAATTGAAAGATTATCTGAAGATCTTTCCTTCTGTTTATATCTGAACCATTTAACTGGTAGCTTACACCTCCCGTGACTTCTACTCCATCATTGACTATAGAATTAAACTGCAGCAGCAAACTTTATACCTAGAAGCATTTTATTTCCTTTAGAAATGTGTGCAAAAAAGTATTCTTTTTAAATATACTTTCAATATTTTTAATACCTCAAATAGCTGGAAACAAGTTGTTTAAGC